CAGCTGAGTGGACGGAAATATTTGTCCATCACATGTGATATAAACGACATTCAATTTAAGGTGAAATGAAGGTGACACCAGGGGGTCTAAATTGTCATTGGCCAAGCCTGACATGTTTCCTGTTGCCTGCATTGAGATGCTGCAAGCACCATTGAGAAAATGGGCTTCCTCAGAGAAATTCACCCCACAGCAGTGCTCATTTATTTTCTGTTATTCTCTGGCATGCCCGGCTTGTCATTTCAAGTTTGCTGTTAGTTTGATCATTTTGCATTCAAACACAAACATATGTGCATGTTTTTTCTTTCCTGTCACTTTTATCTCATTTATTTTCATCACTTCTCAAATAAAGAAAAAAAAAATCTAACCGCAAACTAAAAAAGACAAGCAAACAGAAACTAAAGCAAACGCTAGCATTCTGATTAAGTAAGGTGGACAGTCATGTACTACACAGCCTGTTGCAAAGCGTTTCCTCAAAGAGTCTTTGTTCAGCTACAGATTCCAGTGACCTTGCTGGACACCAGCAGGGAGAGGGAGTCAATGAGAGACAAAGAAAAAGAGAGGGAGGTGGGTAGAGAGGCTGAGAAAAGAGAGAGGGAACTGAGGGCAAAAGAGGAGACAGAGGTAGAGAAAAACAGAGAGAGGGAGGGTGCTGTAGGAAAATAAGAATGAAGCATGAGCTTGAGCGATAGAGTAGTGAGAAAGGGAAACAATAAATAAAGGTCTGAGCAAGGGAGATATATAGAGAAATACAGGTGTAGTGAAAGAGACTGATGAAAACAGACCAGCCAGAGCAGAAAGACAAATGAGAGTGAGCTAGAGAGGCATGAGAGTGTGAAGTATGGGCTTTGCAATAAAAGACAGACAACCAGAGAGAGGGATAAAGTGTGTGCGAATTTGTGCATGTACAAAAAAAAACAAAAAACAAAAGGGACTGCACATTTTAAACTGTGCACTTGTGAGTGAGACAGAGACGGGGCCGGGAAAGTGTCTGACAAAAGGCTTTTGTTGTGAAAGTGGCCATTTTGAATCTTCCCCTGGTTACGGATGGCTCCACTTCACTGTGTCCCAGCCTAGTTGTTTGGCCTAGTTTCTCATTAAGTCTCCACTTATACGATCACAGTGTTTACTCCGTCAGCCCACTCACTATTTATGGCAAACATCATCACAATTGCACCAGACATGTCGCAGCTTGATGCCATATGGATCAAAGAGTTTCTCTCCCAGTGGCAGCGCAGGATCATATAACACATTTGTTCTTTAAGGACCATAGCAGTGGTTTTGCATATTTTAGCCTGTTGACTGCAAACTGTATACAAATTGGATAAATGACAAGTGTTTTCCAGCCCATTTTCAACAGTTTAAAAGGGTATTCTTAATTAATTTTAGTCAGATGCTAAATACAAACTGACTAATTATTGCGATTTTCATTATCAAATAGTTTTGTTTTACAAGGTGAAGATGTGTACATTGCTTGTTTTGTCAGAGCAACAGTTCCTATCCCAATAATATTAAATTTAGTATGAAAAATAACAAAAAGCAATAAATTCTTTCAGCAAATACTTACCTTTTGTTTTTTTGAATGACTCATTCAGCAAACCTAAAAAGGAACTTTCTCTGCTCAGAAATGCCAAACAGAAATGGTTACGTATTGTTTTCCTGATTGGCTGTGATTGATGACTGGATTGTGCACTGAGAACCGTGTACATTCACATTAGTGTAAAACACAGATATTGAAATTTTAACTTTCTTTAATGCACTGTACTTTGTATTTTACCAGCTTTAAAAAACATTTTAAAAATAGGTTAACGTCTATTTAAAGAAGTTGTGGCATCTGAAAGTTTGAGCATCCACGTACTTATAAATTCTCCACACTCATTAGGCCTTAATTAAGTCATTAGGAATTGTCAGCTGATGGTAGTTCACAGCTTCATACATTTTCAAACTCTTCACTAAACAACTATGGGCTCCTCCAAGCAACCGACTGAAGATCTGAAAATGAAGCTAATTGATGCCTAAAAGCAGTGGAAGATATCAAAGTGCTTCCAGCTTCAAATATCCACTGCCCAAAATATCATTAGGGGATGTGTGGAAGTTAAGACAAATGCTGGAAGACCAAGAAAACCTTTAGATAAAACTGAACATCTGCAGGACAGAGTGGCGAAGCAAAACCACATTTGACTGCTAAGAACCTGCAGGATGCTTTAGTTCACCGAGTGCGGCATTGCCTTACCTGCAACCTCATAAGTATGCAAAGCAACATCTGGAAGGGCCAGAGTTGTTGTGGAAGCAATCGCGCTGTGGCCACATGAAGTTAAAATTGAGCACTTGGCAACAATCACCAAAGATCCATCTGAAGAAAAAAAAGCAGCATTTGGTAAAAAGAACACCTTGCCAACTTCTAAATATGAGGGTGTAAATACATGCCTTGGGGTTGTGTGGCTGCCAGTGGCAGAGGGAGCGTTGCAAAGATAGAGGGAAATTGTGGAAGCAAATGTCATGCAGAGAGGGAAGAAAGTGAATCTAGAAAGAGGCTGGCTGTTATGACAGGACGATCCAAAGCAAGCCTTAAAAACACATTTACAAGAAGCTCAAGCTGAAGCTTTTGGAATGGCCCTCAGTCCCTTGACTTGAACATCACTGACAATCTGTGGAAAGATCTTAAACAAGCTCTGCCACGACAATTCCTAAATCAAACACAACAACTCTTAGCTGGCTGCAGAAAGCGTTTACCAACTGTGATATCTGCCAGAAGGGGGTTTCCACGCACTGACTTAGGAGGGTGCCCACATTTTTGTGTATGTTTTTTTAAGTTAATTAAGTAAAAAGTGTATTTATATCTCTAATGCATTACCAAAAAAATGCAGCTTTTGTGTAATTTACAATTTCTTGACTGTGGACTTTGGACTATTGGTGAGACAAAATATGCACTCTACAGACATGATGTTAGTGTTTTGGAACCCTTTATGTTGTTTTTGTTCTTATTTTTGGGCATTTCATAATTCGATCATTCTAACTCAGGGTTTAGTTAATAGTCTACTTGGTTCTGCTCTACGAATGGTGTGATATCAGATTTGACTTCATTTGTATGCCACAATTTTTGACAATATCGTGTATGTTCGGCACACTACAATCCCAAACGTGACCTACTATCCCATTAGGCGGCGTAGCCCAGCTTAGATTTGATTATATCCACAAAGGAAGACTGACTACAGCACTGGCTGGTGATCACAGGACTGTAAAGATGAACTGCACACACCGCCGTCTTCATGCATTTGCAATAAGCCAATGGATGAGCCATAACCTGACTTTGCATGCGCTGCAGCCTGTACATACAAGCTGTTGCCATTCCTACACAGAAACACAAGCCCACACACAAAGACTTTTTATGCAGTGAGTCACAACACCCTGATTCATCTCCATTGATCTAAACCTTCCCAGTGGCTTCTGACTCAGTCCTTTTGTTGTTCCTTTCTGCAAGTCATCTTACATCATTCATAAAGCTGCTTATTCCACTGATGCATTTCCATGAAGGAGATTCGCTGCATTATACAACTCTGCCTTAAGAGTTCTTGATTCAGAATTCATTGAACAGAGGTTTTTTTTTTCCGACTGTCCTTTCTGAAGTTAATCACCCCGAGAAGCCCAACCATACTCACTTGCACACATCAGTAGCAATAAAAATATACAAGCACACTCTTGTACGCACAGTGCTACGGTAGCTGCGAGGTGATGAGCTGAAAATTCAGCTGGGATGAGAATGAGTCATGGAAATAGCTTAATATTATGGGCTGTCTTTCCCTTGATGTTGCTCAGGCTAATTAAGGCTTGTAGTGAGCTACTCAGGTCTGTTTGAAGTAGCCTATGCAAGAGACTCACTTTAATGGTCTGCTTTATGCAATTCTGTGTTTTCGTATTTAATTTGAATATGTTTACAACCCAGGGACCTTAGATTACACAGATAGGGCTTCAGAGCTTAATGAAGATACACCTGCATTTCTGGCTACAAGTTCATTTTCAAACATCTTGGGAAAAAGAATGACTTCCTGAGATTCGTCTCTTATTATCTTAAAAATGCAGAAAATACAGCCTACAACCGACTGCTTACTGAAAAAAACACCTACTTGTGAAAAAATGTGGGACTTATTTAACGTTAATAATTTACCCATTTAATGTAAACCATTTTGGGGCACATTTGTAATTGTTAATAGAGTTTTTTCTAACTTTTGCTATGTTATTGAAAATAGTCAATCCGTAGGGGGATGTTTCAGGATACATGCTGTCCTGTGTACATGGGAAATGTGATTAAAGTTTTGTAATTCCTTAATGTATATTTTAACTAGACACCATCTTGTCAAACACAGCCATGGTAACTGTCACATATATAATCATGTAGTAATTACTTTTTCATTATGTAATTACTCAAGTGCTCGCTGGTTGGGCAACACCCATGTTGGCCTGTATTTTGATCTCAACTCCACACCTGTAAATATGACTGGTTAGTACAGTTGTGACGCTATCCGGTCTGCAATATCTATCCCCAGACCCAAAGACAGACATAACATTATCTGCAAAACTACTCAAATCTGATGTCCTCACAGTTCCTGCTAAAAACAAGATGTCTCCAGAAATCTATATTGCTATGATGACACACACACACACGCATATATATATATACCAGCAGACAAACTCACAAAGTGGAAACAACACCAACTGTGCTATTGCGGGTGGTGATAATTACAAATTACGAGAAAAGTCTTGCGCCGACTTTCAAGGAACTGAAGCTGGGTCCACAGGTGCACTCCACAGAAGTTGTAAAGACAATGTCAAAGTAAATGTAGTGGTGCACACTGACCCCTACTGTTTGTGACATGTCATCACCCTGCACTGTGAAATCCACCCCTGTGCTGATTGATCGGAGCAGCGGGGTCACCCTGTGACATGGGGGAGACTTGTCCAATAACAGATGGGTGACAGAGTTTGTGTTTCTGAATTGTTTTCAGGATTGGGGTGCTGTGTGCATACGCTGCCAACCAGAACCTGAGCTCTCAGGTGAAGAACATACGGCGACTGGTCAACAGCAACATGAGGGACCTGCACACCTTCGCCAATGACACGCCAATGGTGAGACACGCAGTTATCACAGAGTTGTGTTATCAGAGCTGTAGCATATGTGGATAGAGCACAACTGCTCTGTTTGTTTCTATTTTCTCACAATATGACACAACTAAGGACTAAGGAATTTTGTATTGTCAAAGCAAATGTAGTCCTTACAGTACACTATGTAGCAGTTATAGCGAACAAAATATGCAGTAGTATGAACAATTATTTGCAATTTATGTAAAAAAGCTTCTAAATGGCTATTGGTTGACATTGAGGCTAGTTAAAGTATTTGGGTGATGCATGAAAAATGGTTGAGTCACGGTGGAATGAAAGGCAAAAAACTTCAGATTCACTTAAATGGGAAATATTTCTAATATTTCATTGTGTGTGTTGAAGGTAAATGTGAGGATCACTGTGTGTGTGTGTGTGTGTGTGTGTGTGTGTATGCGCTTTTTACTGTCGAAACTACTACACTTTCCAGTCATGCCGCCTTCATGTAATCCTTTCAAGGTGAGAAAAGAGAATTTTCTCACCTTTTGTGCGTGCCACAGCTGCAAATTTGCTTTTTGAAACTTGGTTCTTATACCATGAAATTTCCAAAGCTCAGGCTTTCAATCTCACTCTTGTGGGCGTTATTTGGTGGTGCTTTTCTTCTCAAAGCACCACCAATCTAACCAGACTCTCAGTTGGTTTAACATTACACATTAATGGAGGCCTGCTTCATATTTCATCATCTTCTCCATTTCATTGTGACAATCAACAACAGAACTGAAACTGTTATTTACTTCAGTGTTTGCTGGCGTCTGCTACGACACTAAAATACTTGTTTTGTGTGACTCTGTGTAAGACTCTGCTCTGCTCTTTGTTTCCTGTTTGCAGCAAATTGATTACCTAATATCCCAATACGCCACCGCCAAGAACAAAGTCATCTATGACCTAGATAGTAAGTAGACCTTCTCTGTGCCTCTGATTGTAAATTAAGTGGACAGAAACGATTCACTGAGCTCTTGGTCGTATATGATGCTTTTTATCTGAATTTACTACTTTCCATGACTTGTTTTACAACAGATTTGTGACATAACTAGGTCTAGATAGCTATAGCAGTTACTGTTTTAGAGGATCTCTCGGGCATTCATTCTACTTGTCTCCTGCAGGCAGTTATTTCCTGAAAGTTGAGACCTGCAAAAGCAGCACTAGGATTTTATACTTTCAGATAAAAGAAATGTTGTCTCTCTATACCAGCCAACCATTATTTCATGAGTTGAGAGGGTTCAATAGCAAGCCAACCCTGGGGAGGGAGAAATATGGGCAGCAGTAACATATAAAAGAGTGACTTATGTTTTTCCTGGTGCTCTTTTGCTGTTTTCTGCAGACATAGGTCCATTATTGGGTGGACGGATACACGATCAGTTGGATAAGGAGGTCCATCCTGCCTTGGACCAAGTGCTCAATATGGCTGGAGGTACATCCGCTCCCTTTTAATTTCCTCTTTCAGTTACAATCAGGTTACAGCTAAAAGCAGGCGGCAGCTGCACAGCAAATATTGCAATATAGTCCATTTTTTCATGAACAAGATAGCTTGGCTTAAAAACAAGCAGGGTTATAACCACGTTGTAAAAATTTTCCCCCAATACAGTGTGGTGTAATATGATTTTTTCATATCTATTCAAGATTAAATCACTTGTTAAGGTTGACATTTTCTGCCATGATTATACAGTTATCTAATTTCAGTCCTCTGACGTAATAATTGTTAAGATCTTTTTTCTAATCTTTGTTTTTTTATGAAGTGAAAATCGAGAGAGCCATCAAAGGTAATGATAACTTTATAACTGATGGATTTCCCACAATCCTTTGACCCCTGACTTTGTGAACTTTGACACCCATGTTGCTCCTGCTATTTGTTCCCTTTGTTTTCTTCCTTGAGCACTTCGACCTACCCGAGTCCTGACCTTATTGAACAACGTCTACATATTAAAACTGCACGATGCAATGTCTCACTTTGGTGACCACAAATCAAAGTTTTATGGTTGATATCAATTAAGCGCCACTTCTATGGAGCTAAAACAGAGACAGTATTAGCTGTCTTTGAAAAAAAAAAAGTGTCATTGAAAAAAATATATATTTGTCATTGAAAAAAATAATTTGTCATAAAAACTTCATCTTCACATTTTTTTCTTCCGGTCTGTTTTCAATGACAATTTTTTTTTTCAATGACAAACTTTTTTTTTTTTTTTTTTTAGAACATTTCAAAGTGATGACAATTTTTGATTTTTTTTTTTTTCAATGGCAATTAATACTGTCTCTGTTTCAGCTCCATACACTTCTCGACAAGCTCTCCTTACATTTGTCCTCGTAGAATCAGGGGAAGACGGTAGGGGAAAAATATTTTGAGGACAAATTGTGCTGTCTTCGACCTGTCCAGGGGTCCCTTGCCTTCACCCTAACTCAGCTGGTATAGGCACCAGTTCACCGCGACCCTAGTGAGGATTAAGCGGTGTATAGATAATGGGTGGATTATGCTGCCTTTAGGTGACTTTCCACTGCAGGATCTAGGTGAAGGTGCAAGGTGTTATGAACATTTACAGGACTGGCCTCCTATTTGGCCCATTCAGACTTTGGCTTCATTGCTGTGCAGGATCCGACAGCATCAACTACTATGTCTAGTCCAAGTGCCCTGAACAGCGACAAATAGTAGTTACTGGATGTAACTCCAATTCTATTTAGGAAATAGAACAATGAAGGGTTTTATTTTAAGTTGTTGATGGCAATGTTAAAGAGGAGAAGACTGTTACTCGACAAGGTCACCAAGAGGGGAATAAAAAAAAAAAGGTGTTCATTGTCCTCTCTGACTTTAAACTTTGGTGTCGTCTTCACCGAAAAATCAGCTTCAAGACCTTCAGGGCCACTCAGAAGTATCTACCTTGAGCAGAACTTTTCTTTCTTTTGCTTTTCTTCACTAAAAATGACCCTAAAAGATTTTCTACAGGGGCGCTTCTTGCAGTCACAACACAGTTTGGGCTGCCCGAAAACAGCCTTCAAGTTCCTGCAGCAGATAGCGTCTTTTTATTGAGCCTGGCACAATATGGATTCACTGCTTTTGCATTTTCTTTCTAAAGCTCTAAATTTACCACCTCCAGCATTCCAAAATGACATTCTGCTTCTGCTCTCACCAGAAAATTTGTTTTTATAGACAAACAGAATGAATCTGTGATTTTTTTTTTCCATTTACACATATAAACAGATACGATTCTTTCCATAAAAATATTGCATAGTGCAGTTTTATGTTAATGACATCTGCTGATGTTGCCAAAACCCCAAACCGACGTCAACCTGCACCTGAATATTTCCCTTCATACTGCAACTGTGTCCTCCCAGTGTGAAGTGAGCATAAAAATGTATGTTTGTGTAACCAGTCATGTTATTTTAGCTTTTTATCAGGAATGACAGTACGGCTCACCACCACGTAAATTAATAAACAGTTGGACTATTCAGCTATGAAAGTATTATCATATTTGGTTAATTTATGCATTTAAACAAGCTGCTGTATATGGATGTTCGACTACATGGGATATACAAGCTTGTTGCAAAGCAGCAACAAAGACGGAATATCAGTTCGCAAGCATGCCAGTAGCTCTGTGAAAAATGCCTGAAAAAACAGATATGGCGTTTGTGATTATAGTTTGTGTTTTTAATGTTTGTGTCCTACTGGGTTCCTACTGGGGCTGAGCCGAGTAGTGATCTTGATATCCTGCATGAATTTATTAGATGTAAAAACTGTCTGAATGCGAACCCAAGACTCATAATCGGGGGGGAAAAATGTGCATTTTTAGTAAGGCACAAGAAGATGTCAATATGGTGCCTTCTCAACTTCTAAGCATTTAGCCATGTAATAGTTCATTTACTGTTTTACTCGTTGCATAATTCATACCTCTGCTCAAGGATGACAGTGTTTTTGCATTCTTTATCTTGTTTAATTTTGAAAGTCGCCTGCAGGCTACTCCGAGATTGTTAACCAACACTAGCTGCTGTCTTGAGATGCATTCATTTGGTAGAGAAAGAGTCACTTACTAACAGCAACATTTTTCTTCATTGAAGCTAACAAATTCACAGTATTTACAGCGTTCCTGTTTGGTTGTTGTTTGCCAAAAGCAATGCAGTAAAAAGCTTCATTTTAGATGTTAAAGATTCACACCAGCATATAAACACACTGTAGACACACTCTAAAAGTCAAGCACCAGGGCTTGGACCAGAAACGTATTAGATTTACTCGGCTCAGGCCTGGACCTTATCATGACTGGAGACTGTGTCCTGTGTGAGTCTGTATGTGTGTAACGTGAGCATACATTACAAGGACTGTCCTTGTCCTGTGTAGTTGGTCTATTTTTAAAGGTAACTGATAATGTATGATGGTGCAGTGTAGAAATGTATCCAAAACATTTATATAGTCCAGAAACAGCAGCTTCATAGATGATGAAAATATTATTTTACTGCCCTGAATATAAACGTACATTTACACACTCCCACAGAATGTCCCAAGACGGAAATAAAAGATTTAAATAAAATATTCATAATTCTTTATGAGTCATTCTGCAGTTGAACTGCACAGTCTGGGGTCTTTCCTGATAACTCTTCAACTTTAAATGTTCCCTAAAAAAAAAGTAGACTAATGAGAAAAGTTGTTATTTTTTTTTCATCTTTTATCTAGTTGAGTATGTAAGACACTCCAGCTTTGTCAATAACCACATGACTTATGTTACATTTTACAAGAGCAATCTAAGTTTGCAGTGGGACGACAATGGAAACTGTCTGACTCCACTGTTCCACATTTTATGAGGGAATATTATACTAACAGAGTCTTTTGTTTTATGGGTGCTACTCCCTCTTAACCGCAACCCAGTCCACTTTCAACATTCTCTGTGTCCTCTTTCATTTCAGCCATGCGAGAAACAAAGGAAGCCCTGGAGAACGTTAGCGTGTCTCTGGAGGTCCTCCAGGAAGGAACGGGGAAACTCGGCTTCAACCTGAGCTTAGTCCGGACCAGCATCAACCGCACCCTCAACGACCCCGGCTGTCACGACGAGGAGTCCGATGCCACCACTGCCCAGCTGTGCCGCAACATCCGCCAGTCGCTGTCCCAGCTGCAGATTAGTGCTAATTTCACTCGGGTACAAAACTGATTACTACACTCAGATGCATAGATTATTTGTTGTATACCGAAATGAATGAATATTCTTCTTTCAGACCTGTGGTGTTCTGTGTAAGCACATGTTTAAAATGCCAATTTCATTTGTTTGGCATGCGTTTTGAATTGGACAAATCCAAGTCAAGGCACTTACACTTATGCTGCATGAGAAAGAGATGTCTTAAGTGTGAACAAGAAGAACGATAACAACAACTAGCATTCTAAGACAAACTTATGCAGTGAAATAGCTATATGTTTCAAGACCATGAACTGTGATCATTAATGTGCTTCCACTTGCCCAGTTCACCTTTTTTATGACATGATGCTTAAACCATTGCAATTTAGCTACTTTTGGAGGAAGATCTTGGAATTGGTGCTCTCCCAGTGAGGAAAGAGACTGGGGTTACTGAGTAGTGATGGTTAAATTTTGGACATTTATGACTGTGCCTATTCATCAATGCTTTATTGTGTGCTTGTTTTTTAGCTACCCAATGTGAACGCTCAGTTGGAAAAGGTGAACGATGTATTGAAAACTGACCTCAGCACCATCGTCCAGAGGGTGAGCCTGGACTTCAATCTGTTTTACTTTCTTGCAGCTGTCTTGTCTACTTGTTCTGATTTACACAAGCTATTTAAACGGCCTTTTAAATGATATTTGAGAAATCTCAGCACAATAAAATGAGCCGTGAAACGACATGTTCCAACATGCTGCTTTCCTCCTTTCACAGGGCTTCTCCTCTTTGAACGACACACCACACATGGTGATTGAACAGACCAGAAGTGTCGTTGAGAGTGAGTGACTTCGAAAGCCTTTTTTTTATCACCGCTCCTGCTATGTGTGTTTCTACACTAACTGATTATATGAACCACAGGGATTTTTTATTCTCTTCACTCCTTCCATTTGTCTCTTTTATTCTTCTACCTTGTAAGCTTAAGGAAGATTATGCTGACTTGAAGTTTAAAGCTGCATTTATTTTTCGAAACACGTACTTATCTTATAATTTATAATGTTTGCCAGCTTTCATATTGATATGATATTATTAAATTACAAACCAAATAAACTATTAAACCTGAGCATATTTCTGATGAATCAGGAAACTTATTTTTCTGGTTTGTTTACTCAGACTGATGAAATATTGGATTGATCTGTCTCTCAGGTGTGCACAATTTGGTGGATGGCATTGGCAACAACATCAGCAGCTTTTCCAAGGCTTTCCCAGTGCAGAGCTGCCTGTCCAACTTCACCATCTTTGTTAGCCATGCGCATGCCAAGATTGAGGACTACTACCCTGAAATTGACAAAATGGACTTCTACAGGTACACCGACCTCCAGACAGAATTTTTAAAAAGCTTACCAATAAATTTGCAAGTGGGTTCTTCACATAAATCAAAAACCAGAAAGATCCAAAGTGAGAGAGCATATTTTTAAAATAGGAAACTGCATTAGAATTAAGCTGAAACATGATGCTAATACCTCAGTGTGTCTGATACTTGACAGTTATCTTCTGGCATTTTTTTTTTACAACCTACGACAGAATTAATGCAAACCATATTAGTCTACACCATATTTTGAATTTATGAAATATTCATAACACTCCTGCATTAATTGAATTTAAATAGTGCAGCAAAGGAAACCCAAAGATATTTTATCAGTTGTTTATATACACTGTGGTGTCAAATGATTTTCTATATATGTTATGGTAGGCCACCTACTGTGACATCTTTGAGTGTTTAACTTTGCCTGCTGCTTACAGGTGGATTGGCTGCATTGCTCTTTGCTGCATGGTGGTCCTGGTCCTGGCCTTTAACTACCTGGGCTTGCTGTGTGGCACGCTGGGATACGACAAGCACGCCTCGCCGACAACACGGGGCTGCATCTCCAACACGGGAGGAACGATGCTTATGGCGTGAGTCTACTACACACGACAAATTTGAAGATCTAAAACAGCGATGCCACAACAGCAGTGCATAGTCCTATTGTGACAGCAACAACCATCTTTGCTGTAACTGCCACTGCAATTTAACAAGACAATTTAACGTACAAGTAATAGTATATACTTTTAAAAGATCAAGACGACCAGAATGTATAATCAAAAGCTTAAAAGGAGATATGAAGGACTGTGTCAAAATATCAAGTTGATCCAAGATGATAAAGAAAACGTAGCCAACAAAGCAGAATAGAGTTTTACTTAGATATTTTTATATATTATCTTGATCCCATGAGATTACATCACTGTAACTTGTTGCAAAATATAACCTTGTGTTCTAACAAGAAAGCTATGAATTCACAGTAACATAAAAAAAAAAAAAGTGAAAATAAGTATGAAAAAGATCAACTTTTTTTAAGTGTCATATTTATAATTTTAGAGGCTCCATGCAAAAAGCAATTTCTTTGTATGCCACCATTTTTGTGACATTTTCTTAATGTCTTTTTGTTCTTACTTGTGTTTGTCTAATCTGAGATACTGACACAGATGTTTCTACAACTGTTAATTACCATCTTCCTCCTATAAGACGTTCACATTACGTCAAGCTGTCACTGCTTATTGTGACAGAAACATTCAGCCACTTCCAATCCGCCCTTTCCCTCATACTGCTGCAGCTCCATGTGTTATTATTCTATAATACGGCTGTACCTGAAAGCCTCGTCTCTTCTTCTCCACAGCGGCGTTGGATTTAGCTTCATCTTTTCCTGGGTGCTGATGGGAGTGGTGACCACCATCTTCCTGGCTGGAGGGAACATGGAGAAACTTGTTTGTGAACCGTTCCACAGCAAAGAGCTCTTCAAGGCAAGTCATACAATCAGAAATGGCATGTTTACATTCAGAGAGGATGCAGAGGTCAAGCTTTCCCCAAATGTCAAGTACAATCAGGTACCGTCACTGGAGAAAGAAATTATAGAGCCTATCTCAGGCAGTAATTTGACCTCATTTTTGACCCACATTTTTTGATGCTGCATTGACTAGGGTCCATGGTGTCCATATACCTAAGCTCCTGAATGAGCACACTGCATTTAATTTGTCCCTCAGGTGGGCTCATGAGAACATAAGAACAGCAGCTGCTCCCAGTTGTCTGTGGCATGCTGTTATTTGCATTAACTCTGGATCATGCTGCAGTCAAGCCATCAAAAATGCAGAAAATCTAATTTTGCCTCAAGTTTAAAAACCCCATAAAACAATGTTTTACCAAAACATGTCTTTTTAAAGCAGTTTTGTTTGAGATATTAGGAATCAGAACTCTCTAATGGGGGAATGAAACTTGTTGGATTATATTATCCAACAATAAATTAGAGAACCTGTTGGAGACGGTATTTTTATAGTCTCCATATATGAAAGTCTAATCTTTCGTGGTGTCTTACTACAGGAAAATGAAGTCAAGCAACATAGAATATTAAGTAGAACATATTACATATAATTGTAAACAGCTTTAGTGAGCATGTGCGTTCCTTTCAGCTAAATCCTAATTCACTTTTACATAACTATGATTCTACAAAAGATACAGCAGCTCCTGTTACTTTAAATGAAATCAATCACTTTAAACCTAATTTGATTTATATTTATCTACATATATACGTATGAGAACAAACAGGAAAACCTGCATCGTGATGCTGCTTTGTTTGTTGTTGTTGAGTCAAGGTTATTTGATTTACAGATTGATCCAATTTACTTCCCATGAGAATGACTAATCACACATCCTTGTTCCTGCTCTCTAATTGGGCAGGTTGTGGACACCCCATATCTGATCAACCCAGAGTGGAAGAACTTCATCCCTGGCTACATGTACAACGACTCCGACCTGGAACTGACGGCAGAGAGCTTGTACAGGCAAAGCAAACTCATTTTTATGTATTTAGGTGACATAAAAATGTCTGCCACCTTTCACAAGAAATCCTTTGGTGCTGATTATTCTCCTCACAGCCTTCTGTCTTCTTTATATGTCATGTATACTTGACGCTACAAAAATGAGTGGATTTGGCTTTTTTTTCTTTCTTTTTTTTTCGGTATAGTCTGTAGAATTACTGGATAATACAGTTTTTTCATAATGTGTTACATTTTTTTGTTCTGGTGCGTCATTGGGCCATACATCAAGCATCTAAGTGAATACTTTATTTCCACTGACGGGGATGTAAATGAGCGAGAGAGCTGCTATTAACCTGGTGTGGCTAATTAGCGTCATTGTTCTACACTATCTGTGCTGCTTTTCGGCAGCCTCTATTCTCACTGATTACATGAGCTTTCATCATCCCCCTCCAGTGAGAAGCTGTGTATCTTCAGTACACTACGATGGCAGACCAACAGTCATTATATTTCCAAACAGAGCAGTGCTGCTTCGACAAGTCTTTGCCCATTAAAAAGCAAGCAGTGGTAATACTGTGTACAATATGTGAGTGTATGCGGTATGTAGCTGCCTGAATATTATCACAGAATATTTATTTGTAAGATATTAAGAAATCATCTATGTCTTTTGTGGAACATTAGCCTGTTTCCAATTAGGGAACACGTCAGTCATGTACTTCCAGTCTGCTTCACTTGGTGGCAGCAAATATTCTCATTATAACTGGAACTTATGAATTCACATTTCTCTCTCTCTCTCTCTTTCTGTCATGCTTCTTTGTTGTTGTTTTTCTTAGTACTTGCAAGCAGAACAAAGGCATCTACTCTGCCATGCGTCTGGACAAAGTCTTCAACATCTCCTCTTTCCTGAACACCACAGTGGTTAGTAACCTGGACACATATAAAGGAGCACTTCAATTGTCATTGTATGTTATGTTTCTGTACCCAGGAGGGGAAACTAACTGATATAAATATCATCTGAAAACCAACCTCAAGTGAAATCTATCTACAAAAAAAAAAAACATGCTCAATACATTGTGAAAAAGGCAGATGACAAATTCATGTATCTAAAACAGGATGCGTATTACTGATCCCTGACCATGTGTTATCAATTAGCTGATCACATTACAAACTCTGTCGGGGCACTTACAGGCTTTTCAGTTAAAACAATCATATAATAAAAATATGCACTTCATTAGAGAGCTCTGTCTGGTATACAAATTCTACTTTCTAGCAATGTAGTCTAATTTCATACCATTCACGAGACTCTGCATTAATCTTCATCTGAGCATAATACCAAATACTCCCTAAAACCTAGACGTGTGTCAAAATGTTGTCTTTTTTCTTACATTTTAAAAAGTGTGCAATTTGGACATGCACCAACCATCCAGACATCTCCATTCTTAGCGACTGCACGTCATTAGCATTACTTAATAATTCTTTTAGTGCCGAACCCAAATGTAGCTGATAGTTTTAAAATGCCTCAGCCCTTACCTCAGCGTATGCCTGAGACGTGACATTGATGTAAGTTTCCATTTCTTTTTGACCCTGAGCCAGACATTTCTGCCAGCCCAAGACATTCAGCACCCTCCTGCCAGCTGGCAAGACAGCCTTGGCTCAATATCACCAACAGCTGATATGTCCCATGCCTGCCGGTTTCTGGACATCGGTCATTTGTCTTCATTAAAGCCTGCAAATGTTTGAAACAAAAAAGAATCCACAAGTCTGCCACTGCAGTCATTTTATCACTATAACTTGTATGAGCTATTAGTCACTTGTTTAAAAAGCAATTGAATTCAAATTTTGACATCTAATCCCCTCTCCTTTAAGTCGTCATGCTTTTTATCCCCTCACTGAATTATGATGCTCTGTTAGGTCACTGTTAAAATAAAGACACTGGCCATTCATGCATTACTCTTCTTCACTCCTTCTCAGTCAATTGCATTCAAAATTGGTGCATCGGCTTGATAGCAGTGTCATATTTGCCAGCATATTATCACAAAGCCTAAATTTGTAGCACATTATTTTGGCCAAACCTTCAGGGCAACCTTTTGTTTTTCTACTGAATATCAACAATGCACAGTGCTGCTCTAGCGTGTCACCGCATTTGCAGTTGTGTAACAAGAAAACAGCGAAAACACATGAAGCTGCATCATCTACTTACTCAGTAGGAAGTGTTTTCCTTGAGCCTTTGGGACATTTGTGGTAAGCCAGTATGTCCGCATTAGAGCTGCGTCCACTCGTTTTTACCAGTCCCTGGAGTAAAATAGAGCAGTGTCTGTAGAATCTGAACTGAAAACACAACCAAAAAAGTCAAAACCGCATTAGATCTGTAATAGTTAATAGACTGCTTATTCTGTTTGCTGGATAAATATAAAATTCATTAACGTATAAAACTGGCACTAGGCATTGTTCCAAATTCCCATTTCCCTTAAAATTCAACCTGACTTGCTGACACTCTCCCTTTACTACTTAAAGGGTTTTATTCCTACAAAACACAAATACCTGCACACAAACACTACATTTAAGGGAGCTGCTGGCCACCAGATAACATAACAATGTTTCCTGTATTTACCAACTGTTAACGCTAGCCGTAGCTAACAGCTAATACAACTTCCGTGCTGTTGGTCTGAAGCATTTTTAAGCTAAGCAATGCTAACATTTGATCTTTTCTGTTAGAGTTAAAGAAGGTTTAATTTATGCAATATTGCACAGAAAGTTTTTAAACTGGTGACAAATTCTCGACCATCAAAAGGACAATGGTCATACAGTGTGACCAGCACACAAACGCTCCTTTGACCTGTGACTTTAAAAAACCGCCTTAAAATGCAACTTTATCTAAATGACAGAATGCGACAGATGACATGATTAACATGAGAAAGGGCTGCTGGCATTCAGTATGGGCCGTGTCCGGGTACCTGAATGTCCACAACTCTACCATTTGTTGTTTAAAATGTGTTTTAGTCAACTTTGGCTGAAACATAGTGTCCAACAATTTGATCCTTCCCCCAAAAAATGTCAGTCAACTTCTCAAAGTCTTTCAGCAGAAGTGAGACAACGTTCCACATGCCAGCATAGACAACCTTTAACTCAGAGAGCTATGGCTGTTAAATGATGGAACTGAGCTTTTGTCATCAAACCCCAGCTTGCATGACTTACCCATGCAGTGCACGTTGATCAATGGCCAAGCAGCCCCTTAGAGTTTCAATGTGCTTGAAAAAAAAAAAAAAAAAGAATTACAGCATTAGTTTAATTATTCAGTAGCCACACGTTGTACATACTAAATTGCAGCACTGGCAATTTTCTTACTGCATTGTTTCACGTTGCGATTTCAATTTGAAGTCAAATTATAGTCCCACTCCGCTTAACAGGTATTTGAAAAGACATTACAAAACTAAAAAGGGCTTTTAAGGAGATTTCCCCTCGAAAGAAATGAAAATCAAAACAATAACATCTAAATTGCAGTTTACATGGCTGTGTACTACAGTATCACACTCTCTTGTGGCCTGCAAATGATGCTCATCACCATTTAGTAGGCAACATTGAATTTTAGTCACAGATCAGATTTTTTTTTGCTCTTCACATCAGCTTTAATCTTCAGATTCATACATTATTTTAACTTATGTCAGCATGAAAGCATGACTTTTTTTTGCATGACCAATAAAGGATTGTGCTTCAAAATACTGTAATTGGATTAAAGATCTGTTTTTTGGAGCTACTGTTGTAACAAGGTTAAATTAGTTTTATTGTTCTAAAGGAAAACAAGCACAAACAAGATGTGTACACAAAGTGCATCACTTTATAATCAGGACATTTCTTATTTTCATGGAAAGTCCAAACCAACTGAACATACAGTCATGTCATTCAAGAAACCACTTTATTGTCCACATTTTTTGTTGTGTTCGCTTCACAGTGCCAAAAGGAAACTTCTTCTTTTTTGGTTGTGAAATTGCATATTTCTATTCAAGACATCCTTTGTGAAAGTCACATCTGCCAAGACATGCCTTGGTATGACTACGGCTTTCAGAACAGCCCATAAATGAAGAAAAATGAACTTACTTAAAGCATTTTGTTGATATTCATACATAAACAATGTACAAAGAGTAAATACATTTTAATGTAGCAGTTTCCAAAACAAGTAAGTACCACTTCTAAAGTGGCTTTAAAATTAAATGAAATGACTACGTACAGATATGCATTAATGGGGACAGCAAGGCCGAGTTCAAACCAGGGGACACTAATAAAACCAACAACATCAAGAGAACACATTAGCTGGATATGTGGACTTTCATCCAAACCACATCTTTAACATCTTTGGTCTCCAAGCGCCAACATTTGTTTTGTATTTTTGGTAGCCTTTTATAATTTTAGTGATGTTTGTGCACACGAAAAGTAATTTCTCATCTCTGCTGGACACATACTTAAATTGTGACTAGTAACCAAGCTTTTCTGACAGCAGGAATACCACACAGTTACTCAGAAGTCCCCAAATGACCGTAGTACCATTTTTTTCCCCTGGGTGTTGCGTCCTGAAAATAAGAAGGTCAACCCATAAAACACAGCAAACCATATTTAACATTTACATCACAGACATTTAGTTACAGTTAAAAAGGCTCCAATACCCTTATGAAAGCTACTGCAATACCTTTTTTTTGTTTCCAGTTCACTAAGGATGTGGTCGGTCAGCTGGACAGTGTTAAGATCGACCTGAGAGGAATAATCCTGTTAGAGGCGGAGGGGAAGCAGAACCTCCTGGATTTCTCTGAAGCAGGGCTGTCGGAAATCAACTATGCCGACTACCTGGAAGAGGTGACACATATACACAAATGGTGAAACACATTAACATGCACAGGAAGGGAAAAACACACACACAAACAAGTTACTTAAAATGTGCATGAATGAGCAGAGAAACATGTAATTGGATAATCAGGGCACACAAAACCACACAGGAAGCTGCAGAGAAATATGGGAAAAAGCAGGCACACACAACACAAACAGTATATAGTGACAAGCAGGCGAATGCACACAATATTTATTTTAAAACGTGGCTACACACAGAGTGATTCTCAAGTTATTTTTGATACTGGACTGAACTGTTCCAGCTACGTTGCCATGTGCAAGTTTATCTGACAATGAGCAGTGTAAGTACGAGATCAGACGTGATAGATTGTTAATACTTGTGTAATTACATAAACATACTTTGCTTGTACTTTATAATGGTATGCGACCAGAAATAGCTCAGTTGTGCAGGCTCCGTCTCACACCACCTCCTTCGCTGTCAGTTAACATACAACAGGCAGCCGTGCCGTACCTGATATGAGCTCCGACATGACACAGTACACTGGGTTCTGTTGAGGACCACTGAAGCTCAATTATCCAAAAGTGATCCTGCCAAGGCATGGAGTGTAGGAACAAGCTGGGACTTGGCATTCCCCGTGCTCTCCAACACTACCTGTCAGGTTCACTTAGCTTGATTTCCCGGGGGCAAGAAAGAAAGCTTTAAAGACTCCATTCAAAGGTAGCACCTGTCCTGATACACAACTCACGCGCCCTGCAGAAGTCAGGATTAGAGATTCTTATGTCCAGCAGTCATGTTCTCTGTCTCCTGCTAACAATATAAGTGACAGGAAGCTACTAAACAATTTCACAGGTTTCGAGCTACTTTATTGTAGTTGAATCTGTGCTGCTACAAAGACTAATCTGTTCTTGGGCAAAAATTAAGGGAACTTATTTTTCTTTGCAGTTTTACAGTAAGCTGAAAGGCATTAATTGCTTTGTAATTTTTTTAGATAACAAAATGCTTTTCTTCACTAAATGTAAAGTGCTTAAGCTTCTCCCGGTGATGAACATGCAGGAGGAATAAGAATTGATGAGGTTTTAGAAATACAGTTTTGCTGCTCCTTTGTTTCATATCAAGCCTTATTCCTTTATTTATTCCTTATAAAAACAATTCTGTTGCCTTTTCCTAACAAAAAGCAGCAAAATAAACAAAAGATAAAAGCAATTACTTCAGAATCAACTCATTATTAAAGAAAATAGTACTTTAAATTTCTACCAGAAAGTTATCTGGCTCGTTGCCCACTGACATTGTTATTCACAGCAGAATGTTTACAGCATTTTTTGTATTTGTGCGTTGTTGTCTTCAGGTAAATAAAGGAGTCACTGTGGTGGATCTGCTCTCATTTGCCAGAGAGCTGGAAGCCCAGACAGACCTCATGGTAAGAACACTTCAGTGGCAATCTGACTGATACAAAAACATCCGTTCTGCATTGTTTCTCACACACACTTAACTAATTCTCTTATTTGCTTGCAATACCATGGGATTACTTGACGGCAAATTCGGGTGTTCTTGTTCTTCAAGTTCTCCTAATAGCTTTCCCTAAACAGACACAGGCTATCATTGAGGTCTGACGGCTGCGCCATGTGTTTATGTGGTTCAGGCAACACTGCACATCTGTTCAAATCCAAATGGCCAGTCCATTAGGCCTCTCCAAGAAGATGGGGTTTGCAGTTAGTTAAATTCAGAAAAACAGGCTTTTAACCCTCCGAACCCCAGTTTCATTTAGTCACATTTTTAGTTACTGTGGCTTCATTTCTCACAGCAATATAAAGTCCTGCACCTCTACAACAACAGCACAACCATATAAGCAATATAACCAGTAACGTTATGATGCCATAAAAAAAAGATAAAAACAAAAGTGGAATTTCTGTAATTACTTTTTTTTTTTTAAATAAGTGGAATCAATATGTACAACCTCCTGCAAGTGCCCCAATGTGTTACTGGACTTGGGGAATAAAGGGGATGCACAAGCAATAGTCAACTATTTAGTAATCCTCGTAACAATAATTATAATATCTTTGTAGTTCCCTTGAAAAGTCCTAATTTTTGTCATTGGTCACAACTGAGTTGCAGCTTTTCATTTACATATTTTTTTTAACAAAATCTGGTGCAAATATTTCACTTTTGCTTATTTTTTTTTAAGTGATGCAGAATTAAGTGATTCAGACAAAATATAACGGTTTTAAACCTATTTTTAGTTATTATTTCTAATGGCACAACACATCAAACATATGTCAACAGTCTGTTTGAAAGTTGAAAGTCTTCCGATTATTTCTGTATTTACAGTTTTGCGCTATACTATAAAGTGTTTTGACGTTTCTAAAAAACTTTCCGACCTGTAGGTAATGCTATGGTTCCTAAGTACAGTGCTACATGCAACATTACCCATCATTCATAATTAAACCTTACTGATCAATTAATGAAAGCATTTGATTCCTCTTTTGATACCTCTGTCTCGTGGATGAGATGAATAAAAATGTCTTAAGATGTACCACAAGATAAGAGAGTTTAAAAACAACAACTCTTTGTGGACATCAGGGATACAGAATGTGTGAGCTTCAATTTCTTTCAGGCCTTCGATAAATTATAATTTCACAAAATTGTGTTTGTGCTTTTCAGCCCAGAGGCCCTCTGCACACTGCTCTCAAGGGCCACATCAGCACTCTGCGGCAGATCCACAGACAACAGATCATCCCTATGGAGCAAGCCATGGTAATACCCCACTGTGTGCCTCTGCTTACAGTCCACACACTCATTCCTGTCTGAACACTTGGTTTTAAGTTAGATTTGTTCAGCCATCCTCTTTACTGAAAAAGCCTTGCTAAACCATTTAAAAATTATGCACAAACAATGGCCAATTTATTTTGCATTAATGTGGCCAATTCAGTTGTAACAGTTGTTCTTTTTCTTTTCCCCGTAAAGATGAACTGACATGACAGTCAAGACAAAAACATCCACAGCAATGCTAGAAATATGCATGAAACAACTAATTTTTTACAGTCCCTTGACTTTTGCACCAGCGTCTGGCAGTCATGCAAAAATTGATCACAGAAGAAGCAGAGACCATTTTTCTCAACCCACACTAGCATCAGCAGAACAGACTCCAATAGTCCCACAGAGGATGTTGTGTTTTTACTCAGAACTGCTTTTGGTTTTTGGTTAAAAACTCCAGCTTCTGTTCTACTTTTGCAGTGAGTGCAGACTAGTACATGCTGACCTAACCTTGACTGGTGCTTGCTCAAAGGCACTCTTAGAAATGCTGAAATAATAATAACTCAACAGGATGACAAAGGTTGAAGAAAATAGTAAGAATATCAGCAGCGTTCAACAGATTTTCCATTTTAGGGTGTATGAAGATATCACTGGCACCTATTGAAGTCAGAGTTTGTATTTAATGCCAGCACGTATTGTGTTACCTTCATCAACTTCTTGTCAACCATAAAGTTGCTCTAATCAGTACTTTGACATTGACCATATAATGTAAAAGGGCTTACTGCTGGGGACAAGCCCACATATTATTATAACACAAGTCTTTAATTCTCTTCAGCTCTACACAGCGTTTCAGCATTCGTCAGCTTATTGCTTTGGTTTTTACAGCTTTACTGGTCCCGCCTCGGCAGCAGCTGTTCTCAGTGAAAAGACTCTTAAAATTGAAGATACACTATCTGCCCAGTGCCAAAGAACAACACACACAGCTAGCCACTAGCTGGTGCAGCAAATGTTAGCTGAGAAGCCATATATTTCTCTTGTGAGTTGGTGGAGGCCAAAACAGAGCTATAAACAGTAAGGCCTAAGGTTTGTTTGTTACTATATACGCTATACAATACCGTAGGATCTTAAACTTAATATTTAAATTAGCCAGTTAAGTTCGTAATGCTAATCTGATTTGTTAACTGGAAAGCACTTTGGATCAATGTCTGTTGTTGTAACTGTGCTGTGCAAATATCAGTGACTTAACTTTGTCAGGTGGCCACAAAAAAAGACCAGTTGGACGCTAATGTTGCTGTGTGTGCTGGGTGATTAAATAAAAACGTAGTCAATCTACAAATGGACAACATTATACATTAATAATATATCAGTGTTGCAGATGAAAGGTTCTTGAGGGAAACTGTGATGTGCTATAGCAGGACTACGTATGGATTCAGCCAAAGCTACTGGATAGGAGTGATTTCTGTGTTATCCTGTGCAAATGACTATTTAAGAGAATGGTATCACCCTTGGCAGAGAAAATATATTTACCCAACATCATCAAAGTCTGTTCTTGGCCCACAGGCATGTGTCATCACACATGTCACGACTGAAACGCCAATTAAATATTCAGTTTTATTTTGTCTGTCGAAGTCGGTGCCAATCTTTTGAATAAAAACAAGGATTTCCAGCTACGAGCAATTCAAACAATCAGTTTTTTTGTTTGCTTTTTTCCCACATTCAACTTCAAGAAATATGTTAGAGCAAGGGTAAGCAGAAATGTGTCCATCTTGTGCTTTTAGTGTCCCCATTCATTATATGGAACATTTAGAGAAAGACTGTGTCCTGTAGATGGCATACTGTACAGTAGACACATGAAGCACATCTAGTCTCGGATGACATTGTGGAATATTGTGTGTGCGTGTGTGTGTTCTTGTAATTACATTTACATGATGATCATATACTCTGTGGTTGTGTACATGAAGGGTTTTGTACCAAAATAGTACAAAATATCCACTTTAAGAAATGAAATGCTGGGTAACTGTTCTATCTGTTCAATCACTGGTGGCCAAACCAGGGGAAACAATAGTTACATACAGTGTATGTAAGTCATTATGTCAAGAGGTAGGGGAACTATTTATTTCTTTGCAATGTGGATATTTTAATTTTGGAATGAAATTCTTCAGCATGCCAGAAATGAAAAAATAATGTTGGTCCTCAAGTTTTGGTTGGTCTTTCTTGGTCTCCATTTGTGTTTTAATGGCGTATGTTTGTGGGTGTTAAAATAGCCCCTCGTCTTTGACATTGGTGTGTTTATTTGTGTCCTTCTAAAGAGCTCATTGAACCAGAGTATGAGGTTCCTGGAGAGAACAGCTTCCGACCTTCCAGTAAGTAAACCAATCCTCAAATCTGAGTCAGAAATGTGTACTTACAGCCGTCCCCAAATGTATTCCTACCCTTCCATTAAGGAAAAGTCAGCATTCACAATAGTCACTCAAATAACAAGAAACTGAAAAAAGTAGTAATAAAATTATATAAAAATTATAATTTAGTGAAATAAGACATTGCTTTTGAATTGTGGTTAAAAAGAAAAGAAAAGAAAAAAAAAAACATACAAAACTGTCCTGGACAAATTAGAGCACTTTGCTGATGAGCAGTGAAATCCAAACACCTGTCAACAGGTGCAGAAGTCTGACTGAGAGTTACAGAAAACACTTGGTTGCAGTGATTGGCTCAAAGGGTTGTTCAAAAAAATATTAGTTCACAGGTCCCATCATGCTTGTTTGCTTTTTTTTTTCTTTTTTTTTTTTATATTTCTGTTGAACCACAATTCTAAAGCAATGTCATGATTTTCATTAAATTTTTATTTATCATTACTTTTGTCAATTTCAGCAGTTTTTTTTCCTTCTTTAATTGGAGGAGATGAACACATTTGAGGACAACTGTAAATTTAATCCTAGTCTCAATGATATTTATTGTCTCTTCTCTGCAGAACAAAGTCCTGGCTGTTATTGAGGCCACCGAAGCTGCCCAGTACCTCATCTCCCACAATGCCACACATTTAATAAATCAGGTTACTACAGAACCATTTACTCTGTTTTCATTCTCAGTTTGTAAATGATGTTTTACTCACATTATGCCCTAATCCTTCACAGGAAACGGGAAAATACACAGCGACCATTGTCGGCTACTTCCATCAATACATAGAGTGGGTCAAAACATCTGTAAGTGTTAATTTGTTAACGTGTTGAGGCTGACGTTCTCATTTCTCTCAAGTGTTGACTTAAATGTTTTGTTCACTGTTCATTCAGTCAAAAACAAACACTGTGGTACTCAGAGCTATGTACTGGCAAAAGAAAAACTTTGCATGTTACATAAGCATTTTGGAGTAAACATAGAGACGACGAATATAAAGTTACAACCTCTATAAATTTGAGGAATTTGCTTTGCGGTACGTTGGTTTCTGCTGTAGTTAACTTTAGGAATTCAGACCAGGGTGAAAAAAACAAGATGTTTCAATCCCAAAGCTTTTCTGTTGAACTGTCAATAAAACATTTTATTTCAATCACAACGTTCTTGTTGTTTTCCGGGAGCGCTTAAAGTACAGGGATCTATTTTACAATGGTTTACAGGTTTTCATGTTAGTGAGTAGAAGTTAACACACAGGGTGTTACTGAGGATATATAGTACAAATTCCTCAATCTGTTGTGTGCTGATGTTTTCTGTTTATTTCCTCCTTTTGTAGCTGGCCATGGAGGTGGCACCATGCAAACCCTTCAGCAACATGGTGGACACAGCGGAAATCATGGCCTGTAGCTTCTTGGTTGACTCAATGGTAATGATACTGCAGATATCGGGAAGCAGACCCCATATAAACTCTAAAACTCAGAGGGATTGGATCGAAAACCAATTCAGTTAATTTAGTTATCTTATAAATTAGCTTGCAAAAAACTTGAAGACAGTTTTGACAGGGGCTACAACTTTAATGACTGCTTTGTAGACAAATCGATGATTCATTAGGTAAAATATTATAAGGCAGTAAAACATGCACGCTAAAATTTGCTAAACCCAAGACATCTTTCAGAGTGCTTTATCTAAAATCCAAAAATGTAGAATTTTCCAGAGCAGAAGAAAAATTCTCACAACTGAGAAGCTTGAACTACACAATGTTTGGCATTATTGTTGGAAAAATCATTCGACTGATTAACAAATGATCAAAATAATTGCCAGCTAACAGTCTGCCGATCCCCCAGTTGACCAAATAACTGCTCAGTTCAGCTCTAAATACTTTCTCTTTCCAACAGAACACTTTCTGGATGGGCCTGGGCTGCAGCACTCTCTTCCTGCTCCCCAGCATCATCCTGGCAGTGAAACTAGCAAAGTATTACCGCAGGATGGACACAGAGGATGTTTACGATGAGTAAGTAGATGTTATTTAAGTACTCTTTCACTGCATATATACAAAAATAGATTTACATTGAAGTATTTACAGTTTAAATAGTTATTTTAGACCCTACATAGTCATTACTGTGGATATTTTATATGCTGTAAATGGTTGCAGGACATCCTTCTGTCTTTTTAGCTTTTTATTTTCTACCTGCTTATTTACATACTTAAAGATTTCAATATTATTTTCTAATACTTATTTATTTTAATATTTGTATTTTACTTCAAGTTCTGGGTTGAGCACAGAATAAATAACCTTTATACGGGGTTCTTCCTTGTCACTGTACTAGTTTGTTGTTGATTTATTCTTCCTACCTTCTCTCTTCCCTGTAGCTCCTCTGTTTCTGGGACTTGGCATTTTACTTTGTGATAACCATTTCTACTATTTCCATTTTCCATATCTTTTTATTTTTTTGTGATTTTCATCCCTTTCTGTCAAGCACTCAGCACTTTACAAAGAAACATTGACACATTTGTCAATTTATATTTATTCTTCATGCACCTTCTCGCCGCCCTCCGTGAACTCTATTCGATCATGGCTTTATACACACACACACACACACACACTAGATGTTCTATAATGTCTCAATTGATCAGTGGCATCTCTTGCCATGTAATCTGTGCTGCATTACAGGCCACTTTCTGGTGCAATTCTTTTGCCAAACATATCAATAACATCTTTATGTTGCTTCTTTTTGTGTATCTTCATAGCGTTGAGACAATTCCCATGAAAACGTAAGACATTTTACCCACCTCCCTCTCCCTTTCAACTTCTATCACTTTGTGCTTTTCTCTTGATCTTGTAAATAGAACTGTTTACTAAATTCTTGGTGCTGGTTTGCGTTTTTAAGCTTGGAATTGCTCTTATGGGTGGATGGTGTGGCTTCTTGTCGTGTGCTACCTTTGAAAAGTGCCCCTTACCTTTCATGAAGGGCTCTTGCAATCATTACCTTACAAGTCCACCTGTTTTTGTAAGTTATGGTGTAAATAATACACTATGGTTTATACTCAAAATATGTTTATCTCCTAACAAGTTTGGCTACTTAAAAAAACAACGTATTTTTACTCTTAAAGTTCAGCATGCCATGTCTGTCATGTTACATTTTTCATCCCTTTTTTGTATACAATATTTTGTTTTCAGTATGGAAATTGGTAATAATGGTTATCATAGTGAGCGCTCACAAGGTATTCCTAATCCTATGATGACAAGGTAAACATTACGTTAATCCTGTTTACTGCATGTGATGGGGAGGTGGAGGCATGCCTGGGGACGTGGGTTATTTAATAAGCACGTGGATGGACACGGTGCATGCCTGCAGGGGAGCTGATTCATTGCACACATGAACACACAAATATGTGGAGGTCATCAAATAACAATGACATGGAAGCTGACAAGTAATGGTGGCTTTTAGTAGGAAAAAAAAAACAAATTGCATTTTGAACCCAATGGTTTTATCAAAGAAATCAAGTCAAATAGTATTTTAAAAGATATTGAAGCAGATTTGTCAAAAATTCATAATTGATTTCTTAAGAATTAGTGGAAAATTGGATGATACCACTCTTCCTTTTGTGCATTTAGTAAGGAAGAGACAGTTTGCCCAATTTAGAAAACAGTTGGCCTGGCTCTGTCTAAAATTAAAAAATCAGCTCATCAACACAATCAGTGGTGGACATGGAGGCATATTCAGATCCTTTACCAAAATAAAAGACCTAATACCACGCTGTCAAAATACTTTGATTCAGGTAAACGTTGTGAATTAGGTGTCAGTTTAATCAGGCAAATGTAAAGTACTAAAGGTGAAACTACTCAGTGCAGACAAATGGTCCATGTTAGTATTATAATATTAGATTAACATTATTGATGCATTAAAGTATACATGGCATTTTACTGTTGTAGTTGGGCAAAGTACTTGTAATTTTCTAAATTTTTTTGTAAAGGACTGTAATTCATTTTCAAAATGGATCAATGTGATTGTTTGGTTTGCAAAAAATTCTGAACATACTGAAAAATGCATAGTAACCTACTACAAGTCTTGGTTTGTTGAACCAATAGTTACCAATCTCAAAATCACTAAAAAATAAATTAAAACAATTGAAATAAACAGAAAGGCATTGATTCCTGGCTTTTGGAAGCTCCTTGTAGGGAAAATACTTAACTTAATAGATAATAGTAAAGTAACAACCTACAGTTATGAAATAAATAAAGTTCAGGAAAAAGTACAATATTTCCCTCAAAAATGTAGTAAAATATAAAGTGGCATGAAAATAAAGTACTCAAGCAAAGTACAAATACCTCTGACTGTTTAGAGTAATAATGAGGTAATTAGTGTAGATTCAGAGATGTTGGTTCACATTTTTTTTAACCATTGACACTGTAAGATTAGCTGCTCATTGATAGCAGTCTTCATGTTCCATTAAGCTCATCATGTCCTGATTTAAGCTCGAGATTTAACACAGGAATTAGGGTGGTATCAATTTACCATGGTCAATTATTTCTCAAAAGGAATAAATTAACACAAATATTGATTACAATGGGATGCAGTAAATCTGTGAAACAAAAAGTGTCACCAGAACACAGCAAGAAACTCTGACTGACACTTCTGCTACCATCACTTTTCTCCGTCATGTCGCCAAATGTTCTGCTCTGTGGTTTTCTGGAAATCTACCATATCACTAACCTACTGCATGCTCTATGTGCACGCTGGGATGCTCATGTGGAATGAAAAATCTTCCTGTTTCCTCTCATCTAGAGTCAGCCAAAGTCCGATGAATGTACACCTGATCATTTTGTTCAGAGAGAGGCAAGCATGTCAAGCTTTGGTGTGACGCTGGGAATGCTGCTCCTTTGATTTTCTCCTTAATCTAACAAAACGTCTAACTGCATGTTATACATTTTTAAGTTGCATTTGGACGGGGATGACTTTGGCCAACCAACCTACTGTAACAGAAGCTATAGGCAGAGAGCAAAATAGCTAAATTACAGACAAGACCAAACACTAGCTGGTTCTTGCTGCCACAATCATCCCCCACATCATCTTTGAAACTTGTTAAACTTGTCTTTTATACGAGAGCAGTTTCCTCCCAAGAAGAACTGTCCACATTTTACATTTGTGATGTTTTACTGGAAAGCAAAAAATTAGATAAAATATAATGATACTTTGCTATTTTGAGCAGTGCTTTTCAGGTTTTTTCTTAAAATGCACACACGTTTTTAGAATGAAACTCACAAATCACATGAAGGGGCAGTAAGTAATCGACATAAAACCTCATTTGACCTTTATCTGTAGTCAGAAAGTACTGAAACACTGACGCTCAACTGTGTTAGTCTGAAGCAAGTAATACATTTAGAACAGTGTCACGTAGGTTAGGATTTGTGATGATGACACAGCAGGCAGAAATGTGTCCATGAAAACGTTTTAAGCAAGAGAAGCAAAAAAACATTTTGCAGCAATCTTTGGCAATCCACAGGTGCTGTGACAACAACAACAACACCGACCATCTCACAAATATTCTTCTGTGATTGTTATTTGGAGCATTCAGAAATGTACTTAATGCCCCTTTAACTAGCTGCAGAGTTTAAACTCGGAGGATGCAGCTGTTTTGCTCTCTGTCTTGTGAACTGCTTGTCCTTCTCCTCTTTGTCAGAAGATGAGAAGCAAGCCACGGTTTCACTAAATGGTGATGAGTTAGTTGAATTTCCTGTCGGTGGCTGTTAATTTTGTGCCCTTTGCGTGTGTGTGTGTGTGTGCCTGTAGCATCCCTACCTATGATACCATGAACAGGTTCCCGCGGGCCTCGGCTCCTCCGAGGCACATCGACTGGTGACAGACAGCCAGCTCTTGTTCTGGCTCCTGAAAGGTACAGGAAGACTGACGAATCAGACGTCTGTTTCTCTAACACCGTTTCATTTAATCCCTTCCAGTCGTACACATTTCCTTCACACAGCTGCCACCTTGTCCTGCTGTTTGCCTGCCATCAGCGTGCCATCTACCTCTCTCCTCTGTTTTTAATCTTGTTTCTTACGTGTCGCTCCGATCTAACTCTCTTAACACTTCTTCACAGCTTGTTTTAGTGCTTTTGTGCTCGCAGGAAAACCATCATGGTGAGAATTACTAATTTTAGAATCACTAACGAGCCGTAAATGTCTTCACTGTGTGTGTGTCTGACTGCTTGTGACTGTTTAGTGTGTGTGTTGTAGAGGAGAGAAACTGAATGTGCTTGTTCAGAATAACATAATTTAGTTCTAAAAACTGCCTTTAACCTGTCGGACCAGCTTCATGTCTTGGTTGGAACAGTTCTTTTCATGTAGTAAATGAGATTAGTGTGATTAGAATTTCGCTTAAACATCACATTTGATGCATTTGCAATCTCTGTCCTCTGTGCTGGCAGGACCTGCTGTTCAGATAAATAATGAGCGTTGCAAATCGCAAGCAGCTCAGTTTGTTTGGAGGTCTTTTTCTGTCAGAGCTACATGCTGCAATGTGACATGTTAACATGTCCCAGTAGGACAACTAAGACACTTCACCTACTCTGACAAGTCGAAATGCCTGCTGTAAAAAAGACTGATTGTTCCTAGAGTTTTTCTTTCAAGTGACACTGTAGGAAGTTTACAAAATCTTCTTGGCATGCCCACTCATATCTAAAGCTGACACCAAGTTCAGCAAAATGGGAGTCAAGACAGTCTCGAGCATGGCCACAGGGTGAATAGCTTCAGCAAAACAGCAGCCACAGGAGCTGAACACTAAACAGTACAATATACAGCCACTGAGTACTTCATTAGGAACACCAGTGTAATCTAATGCAGGCCGACACTAAAGCTCAGCCATAAACTTACACTTTTCCTAAATTACACATTGTCTGTTTTTATTGACAGTCAGAGAGCTGATGTTTCTACTTCAAGTAATCTATTCCTAATATTTACAAAAAGAAAATTACTCTATTATACTCTACAAAAAAAGAAAACATATGCACTTAACCTGTTTACATGGTAGTGGTGTTTATAGTTGTAGAAAAATAACTACGAAGATATATGTCATTATTACATCTTCTACAAACTAGACGCGCCATATGACAACCTGCTCTGCTATATACTGGTTTTGAGCCATGCTGCATTGATTTTTTTTGGATTTTTTTCTCAATCTCTCCAGTTGTTTCTACATTTGTCACCTCTCTGTTCTGTGTAGATACAACCTGCAGTTTACTTGAATAATCTGATTTTTTTTTTTGTCACGTGACTCTTAGTTGCAGTTGAGCCCCTGATGACTTCTTAATATATCACAATTTTAATCTTAGATTTGTTTATTTTCCCAACAAAAGAAAATGTAATTTTCTTTTATGTAAGGTTTAACTTTTTTATATTACCCTAGCTTTCATTTTGATCAGTGGTATTTCATTATGGAGAAAGATAAAGTTATATAAGTTATGTAGAATTATGACAGAAAAATTTGGTTTGTCAGGCTACACTAGAATAATTCTGGGTTACAGGTTCATTTGTAGTTTATATATTTTTTCTAAAAAAAAAAAAAGACCCTTCTATTTATTTTATTTTTTTATTATTATTTTTTTTTACCAAATGACATATAGCAGTTTGAAACTTAACTTTCAATATCTGGAGGGAAAAGCATTATTCCCAGTGGAGAGCAGGTTTTGGGGAAGTAATGTAACAACAGACCTTTTTTTTTTAGTTTCAAAAAGCACAGAGAATTCTTTGAAAATCCCCTCTGGAGCTTCATGAAAGCATCATTGACAGTTCTTTTATTTCACAACCCAGCCAGAGCTGCAATAATCTCCTGGCCCATTCATAAGAAAACACAGTATGATTTGAATTATTTACTTAATGTCGACAAAAAAAAAATCTAATTCGTTTTTCTCTAATGTTTGTCTTCCCAGTGCCCTCGAAAACTGGAACTAAAATACACCACAGTAAGTTTTTTTTCTTCTTACTATTTTTACATTTCAGATTGTAAAGCTAAAGCTGCAGCGGATCCAACAGCAGAATGAGTTTCAATTTGCCAATCAATAGTAAGGAATACGGTGCTTCAGAACCACTGCTGTTAAGGTATCCATTTTACAAGCAATTTGCTCCTACATCAAGTGTGAAGATCTAATTTTCCCAAAAAAAGAGAGGAAAGAGAGACACAATGAGACTTTAGCATTTTCACCTGATCAGAGAATTATATTGGAGCAAATTACAACACCAAAAAAAACAGGTCACTATTATAAAGATAATGAAATCTCTTGCTTTGAAGTGATTTGTATTGACTGATTTGATCTGATGTCTTGGATGCAAGAGAGATTGTTTTATCACATTAAAGGTTTTTTTTTTTATTTTCATTTTAAGATAAAATTGAGTGTTTATTCGTGCAGAGTCTATGTCATGTCTTGACAGTATAACAAGAAACATCTTTTTATAAAGAACTGAAAAGAATGGTACAAGGTTGTGCTGTATCATTTCCTACATTGGTACTAAATTAGTAAAATGTGTATATCCACTATTATCTTGCTTTGGTATTTGCACCTTTTACACTTTCTAATGTATAAAACTGACATTTTTTAACATCCAAGTTATAGTCAATAACCCAAATGACATAGTAAAAACATGTAGTTGTTTTGTTTTTTGTTTTTCAAAATGTTTGCAAATGTAATAATGACCAAAAACTGAAATCTCCCACTTACAAACCTGTTCAGACCACTGATGTAGTATTTTGTAGAAGCCTCTTTGGCAGCAGTTACAGCTGCCAGCATTCTTGATTAATCCTCTGCAGGCTTTGTAGGCCTGGATGTGGGCAGTTTATCCCACTCTACCTGCAGATCCTCTCAAGCTCTGTCCGAGTGGATGGGAAACATCTGTGATCTGGCACCTTCAGTTTTCCACAGATGTTCAAGTGACTGTCAGGCTCAGGGGTGAACTGTCCCCCTCAGGTCTCAGGTTTTCTGCAGCAGGTTTTCTTTGAGGACCTCTCTGTATTCGGTTGCATTCATCCTTCCCTCAGTTTTTACTAGTCTCTGTGTCCGTGTTGCTAAGAAGCACCAACATAGCATGATGCTGCTGCCACCACCATTCTTTACAGTAGGGATGCTATTAGCAGCCAGTTAGCAGTGTTTGGACATCTGCCTAAAGAGCTCAAGTCGTTTCACCAGAACAAAGAAACTTCAATACTGGTGCTGTCAGATGACTTCAAATGCTGTTTGACAAACTTCAAGCAGGCTATAATTTGTCTCTTACTCAAAACATCCATCCAGCTGCTAAGATGGTCATCCTTCTGCTAGGTTCTCCATCTTTGCAGAAGCTCTGCTCATGACCAATGGGCTCCTGGTCACCTGAGGCTAAACTGACTTGGTCACCCCTCAGTAACCTATTTAACTTTGTTAATGTCACAGCTGCCGTCTTCCTGGAAACACTCAAAGCTTTTAGAAATGCACTTCATCCATTCCGCTGCAAGGTGGCGCAGTTGGTTAGCACTGTTGCCTCGCAGCAAGAAGGTCGCCGGTTCACGTCCCGGTGGGGGCACAGGGATCTTTCTGCGTGAAGTTTGCATGTTCTCCCCGTGCAGCGTGGGTTCTCTCCAGGTTCTCCGGCTTCCTCCCACAAGGTCCAAAAACATGTTGAGGTTAATCGGTAACTATGGCCCTGCAATGGACTGGTGACCTGTCCAGGGTGTCCCCTGCCTTCGCCCTAAGTTGGCTGGGTTAGGCTCCAGCCTCCCACGACCCTAGTGAGGATTAAGCAGAGTATAGATAATGGATGGATGGATGGACTTCACCCATTCCCTGATCTATGTCTTGGCGCATTCATTTTCTATCACAGAAGTCTGCAAAGAGTTCCTTGGAATTTATGGCTACAACACTGTTTGTCTTTCCAAACTATGTCGGTATTTGAGAGATTACAGTTTCAGATTTTTCTTACATTTGCAATAATTTCCTGCAGAAGTGTTTTACTTTGTCAGTGTGGGCTATTGAGTGTAGATTTTATTAAATGACCCATTTATAATTAAATCTACAACCCAATAAATGTGTAAAAAGTGAAAGGGTCTAAATACTTTCTTTAGCAACTGTAAGTAGACTTAAAGCCAATGTGTATTCTTTGGGTCGACTAACCAGAGCATGTCCTATTTTCTCGTCTGTTTTTCAGCTGCTCATTCCCCAACTCCTTGGACCAGATGAAGTTCAATAAAAGCTGGTTTCTTTACAACACAGCGAGAACACACAAAGTCCTGCAGATGCTTTTATCTTCAATGATCAACTGAACCTTTTCATTCAGGCCAATCACAGCCTTCAGTGCGGTTACTGCCTGCAGGACGTCAAACTCTTCTCCCCTCAGCATCACCCTGAGCCAGGCTTGTTCTGCATTTTTTAAAAGAAAAAAAAAAAAAGACTGCTGTGTCTGCGTTTACATTTGTTCAGATACAAAACAAAGCTGAAAAAACATTCAGTGAGAGGACATAACATTAACTGTGATGCTTGTTCGTTTAAATGTTCTTATTTGTGCTTAAGAAAACAGAGGCTGAAAGGTCACCTAAAGGACACAGCAAGGTGATAGAGGACTTTTTTTGTTTCTTCCTGCACCTAAAATGGATGTAGTGCTTTCAACCTACGCTAGTGTTAAAGGTACAATAGAGTGAAAATACACCTGTGACAAAAGCTGCAACTTAGCATGAAGTATAGTGTGTTCAAAAGTGCTGTTTTGTTGAAAATGACACATCCTTTTTACTTGCAGTATGTTTCGGATGGCGGATGTGTGGTATCTTAATGACTGAAAACTGCATGGCTTGAACAAAGTGGTAAAATACAGAGACGGGTTGGGGGATATCTTAAGGAAAGTTAGCATGACTGTTTAAAATGTTTACAGTATTTCAAGAACGTTTGTCTTTGCTGGTTTGGGGCACATTGCAAATGACAGGTTGCCTTTCAGAAGTATATTTTATCCTGGAATTTGACAGATTTGCTCCCTTTTTAAAAGAGAAAATCCACCATCAGATGCTGTTACGCTGCTGAAAATCAACAATCCGGGAATTATTTTGCTACAGTGTTTGAACGCTACTCCTCACATTTTCTACCAGAACAAATCTCCTTTAACCTTTGAGTCAGATGTTATTTCCCTACATGCCCCAGAATGCCTTTAAACAACATCTGAAGTTGCAAAACAATTGCATTTAAGAAGATAAAGTGAAAGATGGCTTGATGCGGCATTGTATTCTGGGCTGCTAAGCTGATGTCCTTACATATGTATTCTTGTATGGACGTCAGATGCCAGTAGTTTTCATCTAGTTATCCATTAAAACCTCCACAGATTGTAAGCTTCCGAAAGAAATCACACATTAAAGAAGTGAGGACATTACTGTTGTATCTGTTACTATGTACAACAGATATATGTTTTTACCTTGCAAGATATATCTGGTACCCTGACCTTCTAGGAAGTGTCCCCCCCATATTCCATACTACTCACTTAGAAGGCTAAAAAAGCACATCTCTGTTGTGTCTGTGCTGGAAATATCTGACAAAAACATTGTACTATCAAAGTTAATATGATGCCAAACATCAAAATCAGGCCACAACTTCACCAACAGTGTAAGTATTTTGGGTGGATTTTCCCTTTAAACTATATCATAAAGTCAGAGAATAACCTATAACCACACTTTTAGGTTCCCTATGTGATGAACTTATTAGTAATACTCGCTATCATGTTGAGTTCACTAACATGGCATTTTCACTGAGATCTTTCTTGCTTTCTAGAGTTGCTACTTTTAAAATGGAGAATTCGTTCTCAAGCCAAATCCTGTTTTGTTTTTTTCCTTTTTACTGTAGATCTCAGGTCTTTAGTGGTCTATCAGCTATGTGCTTATGTTGTTTTCTTTTTTCGCTTTTTAAAAACCCACAGTAGCGATGAATACATTTTAAACTACGGAACAAGTGAATGTATTCAAAAGCTTTTTTGTTTTATTATTTTGTATTGCTTGATATGGAAGTTGACTGAGAAATATGCTGAAGTCTATCTTTAATGCATTGGGCACGCCAATCCAGTTACCCCACCCACCTCAGCTTCATGTTTACAGGAACATTTGCAGCTGCTGTCAGCAAAGTAATGGTGAAAAAGTAGACAATCCATTATTGGGACAAGAGAGCGCTGTCAATCAAATAGTAGAAAAGAGAAGCATGCTTTACGGTTTACATAGTTGATGGTGTTGATGTACACTGTGAAAATGTCCATCTTAACATTAAAATTGTTGATTTTAGGTGTCTTATTATTGTATTCACACATCATAAGTTAGCCTGGAACAACCCCACAACTCCAATTGTTAGGATTTACAATAATAAAGGTCACATTGAATCAAGTAAAAACTGTCAATGAGATGAAATATGTAACTATGATTTTAAGAAAGTGCTAACAACATTTGTAAACGATCTGATTATTAGCAGCGACTGAGTAGCACTGGAAACTAGTCAAAATATTTCACCTCATGTACCTTAAATCCCTTTTTATTATTCATTTTTTATGTATTTTAACTTAAATTGCCTTCACATTACAAACTAATTGATGCTGAGAAAAGTAGTAGCCCAGGAATTCACGTTTTCCTTAGATAGAAATTTAATTGGCCACATAACCATGATCCAAGCTAGTTACCAATTTGTTTTAGCGAGTGAACTAGGTAACCTCATTTTTACATATGCTATTTCATATTAAATGGTAATTTTTAAAATTCCTCACATTGGCATTGCAAATTCTCTTCATCTTGTAAATCCAACAGAGTAGGGATATACCTTTAGGTTAATTTCTGGCCACTCAGATACCTCTGTGACAGCTTCGCTACATGTGGCTGCAGCTAATACATGAGGTAACTTCTCTGTTTTACAAAATCCCAAAGTAGCCTACAGAGACACCAGGTAAGGACACACAATGATTAAAATTGGTTTTAAGTATGTAGCAAAAAAAAAAATGTCAATGAGGTGAAATTAGTAAAAACAATTGTGTGATTTTGAGAAAACTTTCAGTTTTTTTTAAAATAATTAGTTATGCTAGCTTTTCGATCCACTACTGTTGGCATCAACTAATTGGTATTGGACAGAAAATATTTCCAATCTTGTCCCCTATTCATACGTTATTATTTGTATATCTTAACCACTTTCACAATACAAACATAGTCAATATGTTTCAAGTTGTTTCATTTCCTCATTTCTTATTAAGATGGACATTTTTGAAGTATTTGTGTGCTCACTTTGACAAGACTATCACCGGTTTTCTTGTCTGCTAGAGTCTGGATGTGACCCATCTTGGGAGAAAAAAAAATGTATTTTACTAAGTGCTTAAACTAGATATCGTGTATCAAAACCCTGGATGGATCAGATACAATGGTAACTGGTTTGAACTGTGATGCTCCAAAGTTGGGCACTGATGGAGCCACGGAAGAGGACCTTTTTATGTGGTGGTGAAAAGAGAGTGTACAAATTGTGAATAAACTTTGAAATTCAAGTCATTATCTCCCTGTCATTCTTCTGGGAATTCTGTGGTTTGAATCAGCATGCATTTCTGGGCAACATGTTTTTATTGTGGTTGAATATTTTTGGTTTAATACAAAATAGAGAAGAATTTGAGGGTTTTCATATTTGTTGTAAAGCCAAAAAAGAGGAGTATACCTCACATGCATTAAGCAAAAAATGTCATTTACATAGTTAATTATTATAAATGAACATAGTGTGCTACTGAACGCTTGCTCATTGTGTATCTTAAGAGTTTGACATAGCACTGCACATTCTTATGTGGTGCTGCCACTGCTGGCCACCCCCCGCTGGGTTGCGTTACTGGTCAGCTATTTCAATAAGAGATGATTATCTTTTTCCATAAGCTTCGTTCTGAGGTTTGTTTCAGGCACCAAGCAGTATGTGAAAAAACACCACTCGCAAAACCACATGCCATCTCATTGCTGCTTCTAAACAGGCTTGTATAGAAACCGATGAGAACAAAACTAGTCAAAAACAGAAGTAGCGGTTGAGAGAAAATCCCTTATTTTTTTATTATGTTTACTTTCACATCAAACGTTGGGTGGGAGAAGGTCTTTCAGAGATTTTTACAAACTGTCCTTGCATGTTACTGTATTTACAATCCATAATAGCTTTTATAGGCAGAGCCATTCTCTAACAACATCAGAAGGCGCTGAAATGTGAACTTTAAGGTGCTTTCCAGACAAGTATTTAACGTTTGAAGGGCATAACATGTCAGGAAAGTTCACTCGCTGAAAAACAGCAAAGAAATAACTTCATTTATTAATCGATACTGGAATTCAATGGACACAATGCTACTGGATGTTAAATGTGTCTTATTGTGATTACATCTTTTGGTTGCCATTATTAGCTATTTCATTAAGGCACCTGTGTTGGGAGCAGCTACACAAAATTAAGCTGCAATAAAGAGAATATTGCACACAATTGTGGGAAGCATTAAATGCATTTATAGAGGCAGATAGATCAGAGAAAGTGTGCTGGTGAGCATGCTGCAATCTCAAGGGAACAGGGACATTAAGGTGGGGGTGGTGTGAACATTTTAATAAGAAACTGTGTTTGGCAAAAGTGGGACTACAGCTGAGGAGTGTCCCCTCACCTAAAAACTAGGATAGAATAACTGAGGGAATGAACATAAAACTTACAACTTGTGAATACACTGGCAATTTTAGAGACTTGCTTTAAATGTAAATTACATCTGTGATGTCTTGTGATACAAGCCCCTTTTCCCCCGATGGGGCTGAAAATAAAGCCACACTATCAGACCCACTCGGGCCTGACAATCTTTCTGACCCTCCTCCCCAGTCTTTTACAGGCATTTCTTGTTCTTTCTTAATCTGCACGGTAATTATTTACTGCTCTAAACGCTGGCCGTGCTCTGCCATGTGTGAGTGACTTTTACTCACGTTTCTCTGTGGCTGTGGATTCTGGCTGTGTTTATGTTTGGAGGGAAATTATAGGTTGAGCTGCACATTTATGAGTTCCAACTACCTTTTAAAGCAAGCAAGAACTTGAAAGCATTAGGATGTTTGTCAGACATGCCACATTTCTTTTTAATTGAAATGTACTTGAAATTTGTCAATTATGTTTTCATGATTGCATAAACCCTGTGGCAACAAAAATGCGTAAAACTGTTTTACACAAATGGTTCTATGAGGTGCAGTTAACATAACTGGGCTCTTCTGGAATTTCTTCATGTGTAACAATGTGTGATGTGTTTTTTTACATAACACCTGTAAACATGAGCATTAGTGTCAACATCTCGGCTGGTTTGAGCTGTGGCTTTCTTTCTCCTGACTGTTGTAACCGATGTGGCTGTCCTCTTCCTCCTCCCATGCAACCAGCTTCTTTTAGTCTGCTTTTTTTTAAAACCTGAATTTCCTCTTCATCTGCTTAGCCAATAAATAGCAGGAGGGACCCTCAGCTCGAGCAGTACCAATCTCCTCCTCTTAAACTCAGCATCCATCTGACACCATGTGGTCCCAGGCTGTAGCTCTGCTGCTTGCCTGCTACCTTTGGCCAGCTGAGGCTCAGGGTGACGGCAGGAGACAAAGCCTCTGGGATGAGCCCATCAGATTCAGCACCAAGGCTAAGGACATGTGCAACATGATCGTCACTGGTCACAGGGAATACACAAAGTTGAGGCTGTCATGCCAGAGCAACAGGCGCTCCTACTGGTGTGAGTATGTGGGCAAGCCTCAAACCTGCCGCACTTACAACAAAAACCCTCGGCACTACTTTGTCCAGATGATGTGGAACCTGAGAAAGCTCCACAATGCCTGCCAGGCACCGAGACAGATCAAACCTCACATGTGCAGGAAGGCGACCGATGAATCTCAGATGGTCTTCTCATCTGCTTCATTCTCCCGGCCATCACCAGAGGGTCCTTCTAGGACAGGAACGAGACCAGTAAGACCTCAAGCTCCACTTGCACCTACAGGGCCTGATTCAGCAAGACAAGCTGCCACAAAAACCATCCGAGTGCCACAAAGAGTAAAGACCACACAGAGAACGGGTCCAGGACCGACGACACCTCCTGTTGAGAGCAATGCTAAGAGGATGGCTCGGCAGTACTGCTGGAGGTCACTGGCAGGCATCTGCTCCTTCTTCATTGGTTTGTTTAGGAAATAACCAGGAAGGTAAGCAGCAGTACTCGGCCTCTCTACTAATACACAACACTTATTATGTTGTTTTATGACTAATCCAACAGCACTGTGGTGGAATGTGGGTATTTAGTCAAGAGTGCCTTCAGCACATATGTGCAAAATTCTAACTTTTTTCTCTTCTATTACTGATGTGCATAATATTCAACTGTACATGCATTTATCCCTCTATTATATTTGCAGATTTACAATTATGATGAAGATAACTTCTGATGTCTAATTAAACCAGCCATTGGAGGGAAATTCCAGACCAGCAGTACTTCAGTCCAGGGTAGAAGAACTCCAGTGCGCTCTTCAGGGGAAGCAGTGGTACTGCAGTGACTTTCAAAAGCACCTTTCTGACTGAATCTTACATGCATCATCATTGACTGAGATCCAGTCTGGAAGACCTTCACAACCTTTACTAATGTTTTGCATGAACAACCTGTACGAAATGGTACTGCTTTACCATGTGATAAGATATGTATTTATGTTTGTTTACTTGTATAATCACTTCATACTGAATATTACATTGTTTGAAGTGATCTGAGTTTGTTTTTTTCTTTTTGGACAAAAAAGGAAGTGAGTACTGTATTAGTGTATTTGATGGAATGATATACCAAATGTGAAACTGTTTTATTAAATAAATAAATAATTAAATATGATTCAATCTCTGTGCAAATCATTTTTATTTTACTGATACCTTCCTGATAAAGAAAAAATAGTCCTGCAATAAAAATGTACATTAAATAAGAGCAATATTAAAAATGGCTTCTCTGTGGTATTATAATGTCTTATGATCATAAATACTGTATGGTATTCTTAAACTATAAGAATCACCTGCTTTCCCGTACTCCACATATTCGGTGTTTGGTGCTTCAGGCTTTGAGTTTTCCAAGTTCAATCATTCATTGATTTTTCTCCTGCAGACATCTGGCTCCTTTCAAGATATTTCAAGTCATTTTATCTTTGGCGCGCTGCACTCACAGACGGAGTAGTGACGATCTTAAAAGACTCTTTAAAATAAAGAGCTTAAACTATTCTAAAACAGGTGGGACTTCTTAAAGCAGGCAGCACAATCTGCCTCAACAGATAACTTTTTGTCCTGATATCTCAACATGAGTCTGGACAGTGTTTATAATTATTCAAACTCATGAAAAAACAGAAGCTTAAGGTCTCTGCCTTTGGTGGTTTAATTAAGTTTGGACTCTAACTGAGTAAGTGTGAGAATATGTTGCAGTGTAGCTGATAAACATGAATGAATTTGTGAAGTAGCAAGTTATTTAACTTCATTGCCAGGTAAATAAGGTAGTTTTTCTGGTTTTGGTGATAGATTTTCCAGGATCTTTTATTTTCTACAGGACATCTTTTACATGTATCTGTCTTTGGATGATTGCAATTTGAAGATACATGTACCAGGTTCAAAATATCCTTCATCGATCCCTGTCACTGGTTTGCTAGTCCGAGCTCAAGAAACTTTCTAAGCCCTTCAGTCATGCTATGTGTGTGTGTGTGTGTGTGTGTGTGTGTGTGTGTGTGTGTGTGTTTGAAGGGGAGGGCTGATTATGCAGCAGCAAACTGCAAGCTGCAGGTAAAGGAGACTCTGACTCTCATGTGTCAGGACTGCAAACCGAAGTTTCTCTGAAAATTTGAGGTAAGTAAAGTCACCACTGTTTCATCTGCTGTCAGTCTGTAACGGTGCCCAAATTGGTTTTAGTGCAGTGTTTGGACTTGCTGTGTGTGTGTGTGTGTGTGTGTGTGTAGTGGATATTTATGCTAGTGCCTTCTATATAATAAATTCACCTTAGTGCTCCTAAACGATGCATCATGCGCAATACTTCTCTGATTAAATAACACCTGATAATCTGGTTCAATATGCTTAATATTGCTACAGGAACTTGCATTGCTGAGTGTCTACACTTAGTGAAGCTGTATGGTAGATTGTTTCATTTTACCGACTTTTAAACCAACAATTACAGCAGTTTTTTTGTCACCGCCTTTAGATGAATCAAAATCCACTTACTTACAGTAACATATTATAAAACGTACTATCAAAATCCTATTTATGTCTGACCTTTTATATTACCTGCACCATCTTTCATATCCTTTCTTAATGCCTTTTTAGCCATAGCCTCCACATCAAGCCAAGAACATCTTCACAACTATACGTTTTCTTTGAAATGTAGTGTGTCTTTCCAAAAAGACAAATATAAGGGATTTGAGCTCAGACAACTAAATCTGAATGTATTTTTGGCAGGGTGTGTTCTGTTGGGCTCATGGCTTTCCTTACCAATATCACAATCCTTCTGGTCCTGGCTTGTATTTCCCATCAGCTGATGGTGGGCAGCTGTCAAAAGGGCCGTGGACGTAGGGGAAGAGATGTGGACAGAGGTCAACACAAGGATAGGTCGGGGCTAAAGGTGAGCCGCCAACCCAAATCCGTCTCTGCACAGCCCATTAAAGGCAAACTGGTCACCAAAGACAAGTCTGACTGCACCTGGGCTGCGACAGGTGAGGACCTCTTCATCCTCGGTGTCACCTGCAAGAAAGGGGACACAAGCTTCAGCTGCGAGTATGCTGCCAGACCGGCTGTTTGTCCCCAATATGCCTCCAATGTTAAACTCTACTGGAAGCAGATTGCCAGGGCACTGAGGAAGCAAAAGAATCTGTGCCAGAACAATAATGCATTGGTCAAGGCGGGTATTTGCAAAAGAGCTGCAGCAGATGCTCATTTCCGACTCCGTGTTTCACAGAAAAAGAAGACTGCCCCGCCTTATATTGCACCCTTTGCACCCAAAACGGTTAAATCCTGTCAGCCTGGTAACAAGAAGTTGGCAAAGGAATACTGCAATGACGCCTGGTCGAGTTTTTGCACATTCTTTTTTACTATGGTGCAGGATTATGATTGCTGAGGAGGAAAAAAGTAAACGAAACTGAATTAGATCTGTCTTTGTAAGCAGTCACATCAATACTTATCTAGTTACAGACTCTTTATAGATGCTTGCTGCTTAGCAGAAAGATTTTCATAGAACTGTTTGATTTAGAGTGCACACTTTCCTATTGTTAACAGTGGTTTTACCCATTAATAAATACTTCTCTGTCCATTTTTTAATGTTGCTTTCTGATTTGTCCATTTTGAAGAATTTATCTGGGGTGACAACTTGTTCTTTCAGAAATTGGTATTGAGACATAAACGTAGAATATAATGTGTTTCTCCCTCTTAGAAACACATACACAATTAAAGCACAGCCTGTACCCATACCATTTCTGTCTCTAGAGCTTATTACTTTACGTAATTTCACTTAAAGACATTTGTTTTCCATCACAGTCTTACTGAAATTACCTCTCCTCCTCAATTTTAAGAAGCCTACTTAAACAAAACTACCCTGTCTGTCCGTAAACTGTGTAATTTATGTCAAACCCATTTTCTGTCGTTCCCAAATGTGCACAGCCCTGCTGAAGGCATTTGCTGGGAGATTAGACGTTTGAGCATGTTGGGTATTGACACAGTAATTTAACCAGAGGGAGTGTGATTTCTAGAAGCCTTAGCCTGCATACTTTGGCACTGACAAGCCTCTGAATCCACGCTCTCAGTGTGAAACCGCAAAAACTTCACATGTTCACCTTGCATAATTAAAGCCAAAGGGCAGCAGGGTCCAAATAGATCAGATAGCAAAAACATCAGGCAGGTCAAAGTGAAGATTTCATTATGTTTGGCATTTAGAGCATTATCAGTAGAACTTCCCACACTTCGGCTTCAAAGCTATTGATGCTTTAAAATAACATCTGCTGGGACAAACCATACCTGTCTTGCTTTTATATATATATGTGTGTGTGTGTGTGTGTGTGTGTGTGTGTGTGTGTGTGTGTGTGTGTGTGTGTGTGTGTGTGTGTGTGTGTGTGTGTATGTCATTGTTTTCCTAGTACTTAAGCAATACTGTATCAAAATATTGCATAAAGTAAAATGTTTGACGTGTTAATGAGCTGCATACACTCATCAATAAAGTACACAGTGTAATCTGTTTTCTTATTGTCAAAAAATTATTTTACTGTCACATTTGCTTCCAAACAACAAGAGTGGAGTTATCAAACAGAACAGTCCATCCTGTAACAAATAATTCTTTGCTTACAAAAGATGTTGATGATGTCCCTTTCAGAGTTTCAGGATGCACATTTATAGTTTTTGCTATTTTTGGTTTCTTGAGGGTAACAGGCCACATTGGTAATTCATCGAGCACACCTGAAGCATCAGCAGCAGAAACTGTCAGTACTGACATTTACCAGTCACACACAGATCTGTAAGAGGCAGCTACAACTTTCTTCCAGGAGAGCAGCTCAAACAGACCAAAACAGAGCAATGTTAACACATGCTGCAATTTTAGAAGAGAAGACTCTCCTTTTTCTTGATGACTTGATCTTCACCTGCTGCCGTAGCATATAGTTTATATATATGAATATATGTAGCATAGCACACCCACAGCTGAAATGCATCAAGTTCACATTCTCGGAAGGTTGCATTCTGGACTTTGTAGGAAATCTGTTATTGGCAGATGAGAAAAACCCAAAGTAATGTGGCTACAGCGAAAAGCAAATTAGAGGGCAGTCGCACAGTCACTGCAGGAATGCAGCGAATATAGAAGTATATTTAAGGAGGAGTTTTCCTTCAAGCAAGATTTTAAAACACCAGCTGCTGAAAACACAAGACTTTAATTCTACTGGGCAGCTGGTGAAATGTGACGCAAGGCACTCTGAGAGCGTGAATACGCTCAGTAAAAATAGTTTCCACAAAAACATTACAAGAACACCTGCACACTCTTAATTTAACAACTCTAAGAATAATTTGATTCAATAACTTCAAGACCAACATTGGTGCCTACAGCTGGTTAAATGGGTTATATATATAGGCATCAACTGTCCTTTCAAATGGTAGCAAACCAAAACAATATTACTGACTCACATTAAAGGGGTTTAACAGTAATGCTGGAAAATTGGACTAAACTAGCGTCACATTTTAATAAGCAATCACTGTCCTGACCAGCAATGTGTCTGTTCTAAACCAGACCCATCTCAGAAGGCATATGACCCCCAACTGTTCTTATTCTGTGTTTTCCAAAAAGTGACTACACCTACTGAAAATACACAAATTGAATTGCTACCTAGCTGTTTATAGATAGATAGATAGATAGATAGATAGATAGATAGATAGATAGATAGATAGATAGATAGATAGATAGATAGATAGATAGATAGATATACATATCAGTGACTAAACATGGGCTAACACATGTATTGTGCTGCTGTAGCACACTTTGCATAAAAGTGTCCAGCTGAGACTAAATTTTTTGCTATGTTTGCTGCACAGTAATTTATCTTGTCAGGACATCTTAGAAGCTCAGAATGAAACTCAGTTAAATATCTCATTCCTCAAAAAGGTTGTTGTCCACGTGCAGTAATTACCATAAACAAGAATAAATATTTGACATACAAATGGATTACAGACTGTAACATAATGGTTTTCACAGAAACATGGCTGATTGAGCTAGCAGGATGCTACGTGCTTAGGGCAGACAGGACAACAGACGACTCTGGTAGGACCAGAGGTGGAGGTGTAAGCATTTATACAAACAAACCTAGGTGCAGGGACACTGCAAGGCAATCAAGAGGCACTTTTCTGCCAACCTGGAATTTCTCCTGGTTAGATGTAGACCTTTCTATCAGCAATCTGCTGTGACTGCTGTCCCCACAGATTCTGATGCTAAGCTTGGAATGAATAAACTGCGTGCTGCCATTAGCAAACCCCAGATCTAACACCTGAAGGCCGCTTTTATTGTTGCTCCTAAATTTTACCAACATGTCTCCTGCCCCATGAGAGAAGACAAGACCCTGGCCCATGTTTACACAAACGTACCTGAGGCATACAGAGCCATCCCTCTCCCCCACCTGGGACAGTCAGACCATGTGTCATTGTTCCTACTCCCCAGGTACTCACCGCTCATCAAACGTGTGAAACCAGCGATGAGAACAGTTAAAGTGTGCCAAGAGGGAGTCAACTCTGCACTACAGCACCAGTTTCAACCCACTGACTGGAGCGTATTTGCCACTAAAGCCTCTGTGGATTCTTACGCGGACATAGATACGTCCACCCCTTCAGTTCTAGACTACTTTAACACCAGTATCAACAGGTTTAAGAAATAATTACAGCTGAAATCATTTTGTTCTTCAGGTATGATCTTGTCCCTAAAATCAGTGGTAAATATCTTTTTTATCACAGCTTTAAACATGAACAAATAAAACTGTCATTCATTAGTAGACCTCCACTTTGATTACATTCTGCACTTGTTCACACTCAAAAGTTACACCTGTTGGCATTTTTTAAGCTGCACTAAAGAGGTCATGTTTCGTTTAAAGGACGATATGAGTAGCAAACCTTCAGAAAATGACCAGATTCTGCAGCTATGCAGATTATAAACTTACATGTCTTTGCATAAGAACTGTTTTCGATAGAGGGCAAATTTATACTGCTGGCACCGAATAAACAATGATTTTTTTTTTTGTAAAACTAGATGGGAGTGTCTCTCAGTTTGGTAGGAGATCAGTCACCTGATTTAGAGGCTCCAGTTGGTAAAAAAAGGTTTAAAATGTTCCTGCTACACACTCCTGTTGAGTACCGTAGTTGGCTGTTCTTCTATCAAAACACCAAAGCCAAAGGCATCCTTCCTGGGTGGAGCCTGAATAGTGTGGACTTACAGGTGGTCTGACTGCCTGCAGCTCCTGATTGGCTGAGAGGTGTGAGCCTTGTTCAAACCAAAAGTAAGGCAAAACACACTCCTGCAGTACTGACACTAAGGAGATTTAGCACAGTGTGTGTGTGAGAGAGAGAGAGAGAGAGAGAGAGAGAGAGAGAGAGTGTGTGTGTGCCCAGCTTACATACTCAAGTGAATGCCCCTGTGTGTGCGTGTGAATTAGCGTTTGGTTCATAAAGAGCTTTACTCAGTGGAGCCAAGATTACAAAGAACTAAAGGGAATTAATGAAACTCAACAAAAATCACATTGTTAGCATGAAATCAAACTGATAAGATGTTGGTGGCCGATCTGGACCCAGCAAACGAGAAACCAGCATTCACCGGGCTGCAACATAAACTGGCCCGCAACTGACAAAAATCATAACGTCACATTTTCACGATCAGAGATGAGTAAACGACCAACCCCATACATTTTCAGCAAAAAAGTTACACAAGCATACGACACAGTGCAAAAATAACACGACTTCATCATTTTTCAGGTCTGAGAATGAAATGTGTCACTGGAGAATTGTTTACAGCATCTTAGAGTGCAAACTGATTTATGACAGCCTGGACTTTCAGCCACTGGCCACACAGTAGCTGACTCATGCTTACTGACTGTATCGATCATCAGTTATAGTCTGTCTTAGGTACTCCCGCTTGAAGTTAAAAAAAAAAATCTGACAAGAAAACCCTCAATCTTGCTCTACATTTGAACCAGTTTTCTCCTCTCAGTATACAAAATGTAAGCATATTGTGTTTTGAGGTTTCACTGAACACATAATAAACTCAACATGTTCCTGATTAACATTCTCATTTTAAAAATGGATTTGTTAAATCAGGACAGTTTTTAGCGTTAAAACTGAAATGCTGCAATTCAGCAGGTTTACTCTAATAAATTAAGCCTCTTTCAGGCATGGATGTTTTTCCTTTAATCTGACAGCAAAAGAAAGTGTCAGCTTCATGTCTGAATGAACACATAAGTGGTATACTATGAGCTGCATGAAGTCCTTTGGGGAAGGATATTTCCTCCAAAAACATCACAGACTGTACAAATGACACAGTTTGCTGCTAAAATCACAAAACCTTTCTCATTCCCTTGGTTCTATACTTTTATATGTATGAATTGAAACGCGCATTTTTAAAAAAAAAAGTGCTGCAATGACAACAGAGCCAGGTGACATTAATGAGGAGCACCAACAATGAATGTAACCCAGCGAAATGTTAACAGGACCAACAAGTTTAGTTTGTTGTGCATGAGATCTTCATCTGAATTAAATACCTGCTGCATCAGACAACAGCAAGATCTATACGAACAACTTCATTCATTACTCATAACTGTAAATTATCCCCGTCATGGAAACAGTCTCTCGTGTACTAGTGCATTAAAACCAAACCAAGCACAAAGTCTTTAAACTCAGATTTTGCAAATTTGCCTCAGTGGAGCCTTTATCTTTCTTCACTGTATCCAACTGTTACTACCACGGCCCTTTTACAGTAACCGTCTCAGACACTCGTACATACCTGTCTGATTTGGCTCCTCATGCTCAGCCACACTCTCTGTGATGCTCTTCCTTCTTCCTGGCTCATCTCCTGACGCTCTCCCTCACTCTCTGGTCTGGAGCCGTGTGGTTGCACCTCATCTTAAATCACATTTTTAGAGTTCGTAAGAATAATATCATTGTGCACAGTTTTCTATTCAAAATTGATTAACCATGGTAGAAATTAAAATAACATGTACCTTATATATATTTTGCTGATTTAACAATTCTAATAATTTCAATTCTGAACATCTGACTCAATTATCAGTTTTTATCCCTCTGCATGGACGTGATGCTGACAGTGGTCAATAGTTCCTGGTGATGCCCAGGAATTAGATTCAAGCAGGTTATAGTTTGTAAAAACATCTACTAGAACATAGAACAATTACAAAATGTCATATTATAATTTATGATTACATCTTCTGGCTTTACCCTCACATATTTCACATGTTTTACATGAAAATTTTATGGGATCACAAAGCTCTCCTACATTCTCTGACCAGGAGCTGTTGAGGTTTGTCCCCTGCAGAAAAGCAGGCTCTTTAGCAATATGTATATGTTAAAGATGAAATTCATTCACAACACTAAAGATGGCCGACAAATTAAAGCAAAGCCCAAATCAAGTGTCGTAGGTCACCATGTACCATCATAGCAGCTTCAGTGCTCTTTGGTATTGATTATCTAAGTCTCTGAAATTCGACTGGAAGGGGACACCATTCTTCCACAAGACATCTCTTGTTCGTTTATTTGGTGTCTTGATGAAGATGACCCAGCATGTGTCATAGGCCTCCCAACGGTATGATTATCAGCAGATTTTCACCTTCAGTCCTGAGTAGCATCGCCACATTGTGCTATCATCATCCTTGCATGCATTTCTCAACTTCAAATTCAGCGCATACTTTGTTTTCAGTTTGTCTTGTATTTTTAAACGTTGAGGCCAGCAGAATGGCTCCGACCAAGCACAGTGATTCATGCAGGGCTCACAGAACATCCCTACCGAAGCTTCTTTTAAGACTTCACATACTGACCATCTATTCTATCAGTCATAAGATTTAACTAACCCATATTAAATTTTTTATGCATATGCTAATAATTACATACATTTTAGATTCTAAGGCTGTATATTTCAGCATATCTATTAAATATATGTAAACACATACTTATAATAATAATCATAATAACAATACATATACATATACAATTAAGTAATACACACTACCCGAGAGTCTCACTGTATTACATTACAGTAGATTGTGAACTGTCTTTCCTTATCATAAATACAGGCATTGCCATCACAAATTAATGCAGAAGAGACAAAAACGTTAAAACTGTCCAGAATGCAGGAAGTGAACAGCATGACACAAATGTAAACTATGTCCATTGTGTAAATGTTTTTTTGTTGTTGTTGTTTTCCATTAATTTGAAACTTGTGTGTATGTACAGATAAGATGAACAGTGTATTTGATTAAAGAGTGTAATATTCATTTAACTAGCTTGTTTGTTTATTAACTCTAAAAAGACCTACTTCACGTTAAATAAATTGTTGCAGGAAATAGTCACATATCTACTATATTACCTTACCAGCTGGCTCTGTTCATCTGAGACGCCTCCATCAGCTCTTCTCCTTCTGGAAGGCAGTTGCTGATATAGCTCCCGTTATGTTTCCTCGCGCACAAGTTAGCTAGCTAGCTAAGATATACATGCGGCAAAGTTAGGCAACTTGACGCAAACGCGACAAGTCTAGAGCATAGGTGGACATTTTTAAGCATGAGAAATAAGTGTGGTCAAACTATTCGTTGTTAATCTTCTCCACAACTTCAAAACTCTCCAACGAAGCCCTCAAAATTTCGACGTTAGCAGCTTCGGATGCTACGATGTCACGTGACAGGGGGCAGAGGGCAAAGCTTTGCGCCACTTTTTTTTTTTTTTTTTTTTTTTTGGTGTTTGTTTGGTTGACTTTTGTTTGTTTGTTTTTTGTTCTGCTTTCGAATGTCTTTCTGTGCTGCCACAACAGAAAAAAAAAGAAATAAAAAATAAAAAGAAATAAATATTTACAAATGCTTCCCTTGGGATATACAGATCGGGCAAATGGTTGTTGCCAGGGCAACTCTAGCCCAGCATTGCGCATGTCCATTAGCGTGACATTTTAATTGCCCTTCTGCTTCTGTTTAAAGTCCCTCTTTAATCTTGATTTAACCCCTAAAATTCCCAATCAAGATATATTTTCCAGTATATAAATAACACCATATAGAAATGTTAAGAAGGTTTTAAAAAATATATAAATTTTCCCCTCGAGAAGGTCTTTAAGTGTTGAAATCTTATCAAAGCTGCTATTTAACAGCATACTTACGTGGAAAACAGTATCATATCTGAAATTAAATAATAAATGAGATTACCTGCAATGAAAAGTTTTCAAAAAATCTACTTGTGGCTCCTTTGCTGAATGATTTAAACTGCACATGACGGCAACAATCAATCTGCCAGTCATTATGCAATGAATTGAAGTGAATAGACGTCTGCAGGGAGAGCAGGAGCCTCTAAGGAAAAACATGCCAATACATGAAAAACACTTTTCAAGTCAAACCTTCAGGTGGTTTCTGACTGCATAACGCAATGTCTGGCAGACAGGCGTTTGTAAGAATGTTTGGAGGATTTCTGAACCCCATGATCATATAGGCACAGTTTATGATATGCATGGCTGCACATGGTCATTAGGATGACTTTATAAATCCTAACACAAATCCTCATTTACATAATTGTGTCAAGGCATTAGGTAAACAAGCTTGCTGCTCCAACTCCCTCACAGATCCTCCTGCCCTGAGTTTAGCTATTGAAATTCCCTAAGGGATGAATATCTATCTATCTATCTATCTATCTATCTATCTATCTATCTGACACAGTGTATGCATCATACTGAAACAGAAAAGAAAAAACATCTCAAGTAAAGGGACAATGTTTAATCACCACAGAGATGCTTTGATGGTTTCAAATTATTGCAAACTCAACCAGCCAGAAACTTTAGATCACGTTGACCTGAGTTACAAGGACGTGAGAGGAAACATGCAAACAAGACAGTAAAACATATGAAAGATTACACATGTTACTTATGTTGAACAGTACAGATAAAATCAAGGGCTGAAAAACAAAGAGTTGACCAAAGAAACCTGAGCTGGTAACAAAATAATACCTAAGAAAGTTTTTAACAAATTGAATTCTGAGCCAATTTGAATGTGTGAACACTAAAAGATCAAATATGCACAGTGAAAATGAAGTTTTTAAAATTACACAAGTTGACAATAATGGTGTTATTTAGATGTTACCTCTGCATTCACTGCAGTCAAAAGCAGTGTGTAGACAGTGTGTTCACTTTAAACTTTGCTGCCCCCCTGTGGTTCAGCTCCAGCAGAATCTGAAGCCATTTCTCATCTACTGACATGAGGCCCCAGTTTGTTTGACATCCGGCCCCTTCATGCAGAAAGACCCGGAGGCAAAAGATGTCTTTATATGAGTCAACAAATGTCTAATAGCGTCCCATTACTTATTGATCTCCGACAGTCACATTTCAATTCAAGGCTGGATCAGCATCTCATTTGTAATTAATGAGAGCAGCAGGCTTGTCGACATAAGGGGTTTAATAATTCAGCAGCAGTATTGTATTTTCTAAGTTACACTTAACACATGCTGTGAGCACTGTGCACAAATAAGGTAAACAACAGCTAACAATAAGTGTAAGTTTCTAATGTGTAATTATTTCATAAACAGATCACATTGTTCTCTACATTAAAACCCTAACCGTAGCTTTACTAAACACTGTATTCAAGCTGTTTGCTGCTTCATTTCTGTCTGACATCAAACAAAAACTGAATAACTTCTAAGTGAGCACACTGTTACTAATATTTATGCTGCAGGTATCGTTGTAAGTCAAAATAACAGGCGAGTAATTCACACTAATCTTCTCAACAGCACGCCAAAGTCAGAAAGAAGAAGTACAACTCTGGATCAATATCCTCATCTCATGTGTATAGCTTTGTCTCGCGGCACCACAGTGACTCATCACTCAGTGCTGCTAAACACATCATAACGCAGCATTAATCATTCCCACCGCAGAGGTAGAGTAAAGCCTTCTGGTAGTCTCCAGCTGTGTCCTCCTGCAAAAAACAAAGCACACATAATCTGTGTCATTCATATAAAGGATAACTGTGTGCGTGACCACTTTAATTAGATGCAAAATTACTCATTCCTTTTCACTGAATGGAGGGTTGTTGCTTTTTTTTTTAGTGACAAAACTGTGGGAGGCTGCAGCTCGGGTGGCTGGATCTCCTGCCCCTCCTCTACACATGTCAAAGCATCCTTGAGCAAAAACATTGAGTCTCATATTGCTCACATGTCCCCGATGGCAAAAGCGTCTACAAAAGTAATGTGATGTGATAGTGCTCATCGTAAATCTCGACATCTCTTAGCAAGCTCAAGATTAAGCTTATAGCTACAACTGTACCTCATTGATGAAGTAAAGTAAACTTCTGGATTAGTCAAGTAGCTGCAGCTGTAAATTAACACAAACATGTCTTTTCACTTTGCTCGACAAGGCGAGACGCGACATGACCAGCGAGCTCAGCTGGGTTTTGATGATTTACTTTATTTAATAATTTAGGGACTATGTCTCCCAGTTGGCCTGGGAACGCCTAGGGGTCCCCCCGGAAGAGCTGGAGGAGGTGTGTGTGGATCGGGAAGTCTGGGCGGCTTTACTAAGGCTGCTACCTCCGCGACCCGACTCCGGATAAGCGGGAGAAGATGGATGGATGGATGGATCTATCAAAGAATTCTCCCAGTACAACGGAGATGTGAATTTTAGCAGACCACACTGGAAACTTTCATACAGACAGTATAAAAATCTTCCACTGAAGCAGACAGTTAGCTCCACTGTATGAGGTACAGATTCTAATGTTGAATTTGCAGCTTTTTCAAAAATGCTGTGAGCCTCACCCCTAAAAATTCCATCAATCTGAAATAAAAAGAAATCTGCAAAGCCTGAAGAAAAAGCCAAATTATCTGAACAGATAGAAACTACCAGGTGTTATTGAGAATATAATCATTTTAAATAGCCCAATGGGAGATGCTGCAGTACTTGATATTTGAGGAGGGAGAAAGTTCATCTCTGCAAAGTATAAGAATGTCTAAAGTAATGGCCAGTGTGGATAAATTCTTTATTTTAGTTAGTGATTTTCTAAACTGTTCACGTGTTTAACTATAGCAACTACTGGTGACCAGAATCTTTCTTGCAGCCAGTTATTGACATTCACATGCAGGCAGTGTACTGGAGCTTCAGAGTTTCTGGTGTCTGTGGTGACATTACCACACTGACAGAAACGTGAGCAGACAGGAACTGGTGATAAATTGTTTGAATAGCAGACATTTTAGTTTAAAGAAAAAAACTGGGAAAAGCAAAAAGTTTATGGCTTGTGTGTTTTCGTATCATTATATGCTGATATATGTTGGACGTCTGAAAGCTTAAAAAAAAAAAGTCTGCTCATTGACAAGTTTCATCAGGTAAATTTAGGTTTAATTACCTGGAATGACTGACTTTGGCTGACATGAGGCATCAGTGATCATTTTAAAGAAGTTCCTGACGTCAAGACTTAGAAAAACACGTCTCTGAGTCGTAATTATGACTTGGATATTGACATTAACACTATTTACAAGTCAGATGTTGGTAATTATGGCAACTCATGTGTGACATAAACATGCCATTTTCATTGCAAGAAAAGCACAGGTGTAACTCGAGCTCTGATCCATTTGGAAGACAGTGAACCGTGTACAATTCCAGCACTGTCAAGATACAGACATGAAACGCACTCATAATTTACGTCATTAATTACACGTGTGATTGACACGTCAAAATATCAGCTATTAGAATAGTCTATTCATAAAACGTTACGTGAAATGTCAATGAAAAACATGAAATGTAAATTCCTTTGAAAAGGGGGGAAATTTAAGTAATAATTGCTATCATCAAGTAAAAAGTGAACTCTCCAAAGACTGTAAAAAATAATAGTGGTTATTATATATTTTCCCTCATTTATTGAAAGGTTGTTTCATAATGTCTTATTTATCCATTCAGTATTGGCCATTTGGGAGTTGAGCAGGAGGATGGCAATAACTCCACACTGTGGGAACATCTGGGCTCGGGAGAATAGATTAATTCACTTTGGCTCATGTGAAAAGCAGGGAAGCAGTCTCATCACACTGAACAAGACATTTAAAGTAAATCACTAATCCCCTCTCCATCACTGCACAGACATGAGTAGCGTATAAGCAGCGTAACCATAGTACACACAGCTGGCACTTTAAAGTCATGCAGAGGGATGGATGAGATGTTTACCAGAACATCAGGGGGAATTGTCTGCAGAAAATTACATTTTTATGTCTCAAAGGATTAGACTGTTTAGCACTTAGCATAGTGAAATAAACAAAATGCTGAGGAGCTTTGTATTCTGATGAGCCTTGCCTGGATGGTGGTGTAGAGAGACGCTCCGTACATCTTTTTGAAGCTGGCTCTGATGTCCAACATGTCCACCTCCGACCTCGACACCATTATCCTCATCAGGGTGTCGTCATCAGTACCAGCTCGCTGTTTAGAGAAAGCACAGTCAACAGCTGAACCTAACACTGCGTGAAACACAATCCAGCTGCAGTCAACAAACCCAAAGTAGTTTTATTCAGATTTCCTTTCAGGACTGTTTTTTTTTTTACCCACACCCAGGCCTTGTAACCTCAGACACATTAATGTATTATATGGCCTTTTATCTCCAGACTCCACTGTGGATCTACTCATCAAAGGACCATGCCAGGGTTTGTGGAAGGTTCAACTCCTCAGCTACTAAACAAGAAATGCAAGCGCTACCATCTTGTGGATTTAGCGGATGTGTATATATATATATTTTTTATTTTATTTTTTATTTTTTATTTTTTTCAACATTCCAGAAGTGTAAAATACAAAAGTCAAATATACACTGTGAGACTTGCTTGATTTGCAGCTTGCACAGTGATCAGTCACAGTAAACACTGAATCTGCATTTAAAGGAACGGTTAGAGATTTTGGAAAACATGCTTGTTTACTTCTGTGCTGAGAAGTAACCCTCTGCACCCAAGCAAATTGCTTTTGTCAAATTTTTTACACACTGTGGGCTCATTTTTCACAGCAATTTAAAGGTACGTACCTCTATGGAAACAACACAACCATGGCTTGATGTAGAGATGATTAAAAAATAACTAAATAATAACAATAATAATAATTATATATATATATATATATATATATATATATATATATATATATATATATATATGCAGTATTGCAAAGATATGAGTCATAATAACAATACTACTACCACTAATAATAATAATAATAGTAATGCAATACTGCACAAGTATATATATTTTATTATTATTTTCCCTATTATTATTATTTTTGTTTTATTTTGTTTTATTTTATTTTTTTAAAGGAGTTGTTAGATTAAGTTGCAACAGTTCTTTTGGTTTTCATAGTTTCTGACTCTGAGAAATTGTGGAATTTAGGCTTTTTTTTTTTTTAGAGATAGCATGCCATGGTTAAATATGAAAACAGACAGGCAGAGTTTGTTACCTCTAATTGGGCAAAGGGAAGCAAACTGTTTGCCAAACCTTTCCAGGTTTTGTTCTAAGACATCATTCTGTAGACATCACTATACTACTATATTTTGCTTGCTTTGTAGTTTAGAAACTTTATTTGAATGCTAAAAAATGACAACATTATGTGATATAGGTGATGGGACATGAGTACCTACCCTCATAGATTTATAAAGGCCCTCAGCAAAAAACTCTGGGACACTTCTGGCACATTTCACTGAAGAGGGAAAAAAAACATAACAGGGTTCTGCATAAGAGGAATTGTTGTCATGTTAAGCTGACATTGTATTGGCATTGATTTTTCTTGACAAGTGTTATCTTGTGCTGCAGTATATTTGAAAATGTATGACCAAAGAAGACAAAAAAAAAACCCAACACCCAGAGGGAGCAGGATTTGTTGTCACAATTTGTGATGACTGAAGTATCACTCTGATGAATCGAGGGTCTTACCAACAGCTACCAGTAAGTTCTCCAGATTCCCAGTGGTCTCGCCTTTAATGCTGTCCTCTATATCAGAGCCAGAGAGCTTTTTGTAGGCATCAAATACTACAGAGAGAAAAAACAACCAGAATGACAGTTAGCTGTTGTCGTAGGAGTGGAATGAAGCCCATTCAGCATGAAAAAGGTCGAGCCATTCTCAATATAAGTGTTTTCACTTCAGGGTAACTCTTTGTGTCTGTTTTAGAGCTTGGTATATCTCTATGTCTACAATATGAGAGCGTGATTTGACTGTGTTGTGTTTTATTGCATCGTATTTTGTACTTATTGATATAAAGCGCTACAGCCAATACACTTTATTAGGCTTTGCTTGAAAGTACAAGTGCAACCAAAACGAAGCGTGACCGCAGAGTTTTCAAAGATATCAAATACGGACGTTGGTAGAAGTACATATAATAAAACACAACAAATCTAGTATATTTTCATTTGACGGCATAAGTTTGGGGTTTAAAACCAAAATATACAGTGATTGTGTTCGTGAGGGGAAGTAGAGGCCCTTAGGAGCAAAAATATAAACCAGCTGTTGTAAAGACAAACTAAAGCTTGTGTCTGAGTGTTTCTTTCAGTGGCTGATTCGTGCCTAAAGCATGTCATTCCAATATGTTGTAAACAAGCTCTGCTGAAATAAGATCCAGAGACAGGACACCCGAGAAAACTCAGGCCACTGCCATGTTACTGATCCGCTTCATGGCCGTGTCGCTCAAACACTGACTGCTGGAGCAAATGCAAAACAGACTGTCCTTACTAGAAAAATGAATGGCAGTCTGTTGTTCAGCCCTTTAAATAAAAACAGCACGGGCAGCTTTCTGACAAACAACGTGCTGGAGCCTAATATCGATGAGGTCAGAGCGGGTCTTGACAACAGAAACCACATTTTACATTCCATTTCATGCACTATTTTAACTCTTTATAGAGTGCCCCTTGAAATACTTGGAAAATGAAAATTTCAGCCCAAGGGTGTTATTGAAGGATATTTCAAGATATTTTTACTTTTGTGACTTTAAAAAAAAAATGTTGCAAATCAAGATTAATAAAGTTAAGCTATATGGCAACTTGCTCGTTTACAGTTTAACAAAAGGGGGAATTTATAGTAAATAAAAGAAAAAGTAACAGACTGAAAGAACTTTTATTTAGAAACATTTGAGTCTGAGGTAATGATTCTTACACAGCCAGTAACGAAGTATTTCTAAAGTGCTTGGCAAGTTCATTTAGTCACATTCATCTTGGTTTTAGTGGCACTGATCTCCAAAAATAAATCAAAGTGGAGTTCAATGCAAACCAGTAACAAAGCATTTATAAAGTGCCTGGAACATTTGTTTAGTGACATTTTTGGTAACGTAGTGATGTTGGCGCTAATATAAAAACTAAATCAACGTTCACATGGTTCTCCAAACTCGAGGAGGTGGACATAATGAACGTCCAAGGAAGTTACCAAATGTGGTCACTTGCCCCATAAAGTGTTAAAACTGGCTCCATTTAACTATGATGGTAATATTTTTCTTTTGTGTTGGTCCAGAGCTTAATTTGTCATCGTGTTTTATGGTTTCTGTCTATTTTACAGTTATTAATCCATTGCTGATATTATTCTTTTTAAATTGTCTTAGTGTTTCCCCTGTGAAACACTTTGTTTTATGTATTATATATATGTTTTGTATGTATGTATGTATGTATGTATGTATGTATGTATGTATGTATGTATAAAAAAAAGTATAGCCACACAAGTAGTAGACCACAACACTCATGCATATTTTAGAAGGAATGGCGACATTTTGGAAGACACTGGCTAATGACTTGTTTTGTCGCTCGGCTGATGCAGAAGTACCTGAACATGCAGCTAATCTAATGGCCTCTAAGTTTCTGATGTATTTTTTTGTGACCCCTTTCCCTCTTTATCTCACCAGTGGCTGACATGACTGGTTTTCTGCTATTTGAGTCCGTCCACTTCAATTTTTAGTGAGTTGTGCGTTCAGTCGGCCGTCTGACAGACTGACTAGCTTGAACAAGTTTCGCCATCTTCCCCTATGACCTCTCTCTGCAGGAAGCAATTTTTGTTGTTTATCACACCTTGCTAAACTCTGGTGCCCCCAGTGCTCTCATCCCGTGTCTCTAGGTTTTGTGTTGTTTACTATCACACACATTTTGTGGCCTTTTCTGCACATTGTCTTCAACTTTTACAGTATTGTTAGGCACAAACAAACTCACCTTTTCTGAGATGCTCTGCGCTCCTGTTGCCAAGAATTGTGATGAATTTTTCCTCATCTGTGCCAAACTTGCCCTCACCAGCGGCATACAAGTCCTGTGATGACAGAGCACATAATTACATGCACACTGACACGCACAGCAGACATGACTTATTGGAACGCACAGCCAGGGCAGCAGTGACAGCGCTAATGGTGTGCAGTGCGCTGTACCAAAACAGCACAGAAAAGTGTTTGTTTTGAGTTTCATCAAAGAAACGATGGAGTTTAGGTCCTTAATCTTTGCACCTGTCGGAAAGTTTTCTCATCCTCTACTTATATAACTAGCTACCTGATGAAATAATGATTTGATTTTATGATTTATACATTGTTTATTTCTGCTACTTCAGTCACTGAGGGGTTAAACACTGCAGCAGCGTCAATATGATTACAGAAAAAAAAGATTCCTGTTAATGTGTTGCGCAGTGAAATGCATATAGGATTACTTAATGTCTATCTATGCTGGATCCCAATTCACAGCTCAATATAATTACTGAGTAATGTTTATTAAACTAGATGTTTCATCCCCTAAGGTTCATATCTTGTGATGAATTTATTCTATTGACTTGCTCAGGGTTTTCTTGACCTTTAGTTTCCCTGCACTTTGGAGAGCAGCCTCACAAATATGATCAATTCCCAACATGCTGACATTTGAAAGAAGATGAAATTCAGACAAAGGTGCAGTGTAGTACACTGGGAAGGATTTTTAAAGCTGCTCAGTGTTGCATTTTAATAAAACAGTTGCAAACCATTAATAATACAAGCCACATTTCTGGAGATACACGTACAGGGGAGAATGTAAAGTTGAACTTTCAAGCATATTCAAGCCTAAATGGTTTTTACCATTAATATAAACACTGATAGTGACCAGCTCAGCATTCTTTGGAACTACATCCATATTAGATGATTGTGCATTTACTAAAGCCCCTCATTTCTGTTAATTTGACAGCAACCAAAAGTGTTGACTTCATGTCTGAGCACACTGTTCACTTTTGAGTTTTGTGAAGTCATTTTTCACATCTAAGTATCACAGAAAGCACCAAAGACACAATTTGCTGCCAAAATCACAAAACACCCTTTTTCAAACATTGTTGTGTGTGTGTGCTATGTGCATACAATGTGTGTGCTATGTGCATACAATGTGTGTGCTATCCTGTAAAAAGGTCAAAGTGTCAAAGCTCACCAGTTTACTGGGGAGTTGATGTGCTTGACATTGTCTTTGTTATATGAAGTCAGTCCGCTGAGTCAATTCTAGTTGCCTAAAACCACTCCCAGCTCAGAAACAATCAGCGTTTTATTTTCCATTACCACAATCCTTCACAAAACATTATCATGCCATAGTTGTCTTGTGACAACTTTAAAAACATTTGCAATCGACATAAAAAACTTGGCTTTAAATGTCATATTACGTGAACTTTCAGTTTAACCCTATTCAGGACTTTCATGTTGCCATACGTAGAAGGTCTTTCAGGGTCCACTGGACCCCAAGAAAGAATATGTGCAAAATATTTGTTGCCATTCATCATAGACTTTTACATTTTCTAATAAGTTCACATATTTTTAGGTAAAAATGCATGACAAATGTCCTATTTATATATGAAAAAAAAAAATCTTCAAAATAAAAATGGCCTGAAGTCCAAAAGACCCCAAAAGTCCTGAATAGGGTTAACAAGATGAAGCAACAATCTAGATCTTGCCATGTGACATGTTACTGCTTCTTACCTTAGCATCTTTCTCAATCTTTTCTTCATCTACCCCCTCTTCCCTGTTCCCCTTCACAGCCGGACAAAGGTAAAGTGGCAGGAAGACAGACAGGTACAAAGATAGAAAGACAGATTGACAAACAGAAAGAAAAAGTGGGTCAGTGGGGATGGAAACACTGACTTTAGAGTCTCTCTCAACTAAAGTAACCCCAAAAGAATATATTATCCACTGAGCGTCCCAGAAGTGTGAAGATTACTTTTCCATCTGTAAACCAAAACACAGCCAAGAAACTAGCTGTAGAGTAATGTGCCGTCATCACCCTCCCCTTCTCCAACTCACACCTAAACCTCTCATGACTTTGTAATGGCATCACCAGAGGCTTCTCTCATTATCAGGAAAGGAAATACAAGTCTTTCCAGCAGCATCCTTCTCTACCTGCAGCAGAATCACCAGCAGCTTCTGATAGTGCCCTGAGGTGTCACCGCAGATATCTTTCTCCAGCTTGCCACCAAACTCTGGAGAAAAGAAGAGAAGAGGGGCAGAAGATTGCTTACACACAGTCACTAATGGTTGCAATCAACCCTAGAGGGTTGTCCTCTGGTGTGCAGGAAGACCTCCGACAGGAGAGATTTGATTATTCAGCTAATGGATGATGTGGCCTTCTCCTTTGTCCAGATCAAATAAACTGGCCTCTTTGCCTTGAGTCATTGTTGTCACATACTATTATTGTTTGTTGCGATGTGCAGGAGCCACCTTAGAGACATTGTGATATGTGTTAGGAAAGATTCAATGTATTTTTCACTTTTATGACTGAACATGTTCTAATGAAAACCAAAGGACACAGCGCCGTGCTGTAAACAGGTATTGTCCTCTTGGGAAATAAGCCCTAAACAATAGATATTAGAAATCTATATGAAGCAAGAAATAGCTGTTGTACAGTGTCTATAACAAGTATGCACCCCCCTTGGAAGTTTCCCTTTTTATTGCTTTTCATCATTGAAAAATGTTCCATTTAATGATGACTTTTTAAACCAGAATTCCCCCCCCCCAAAAAAGACTCTTTAACGTCAAAGTGAAAACAGATTTCAACAACATATTGCTGATTAATTGAAAATATAAACATCAAACGCAAAACAAGTGACTGTATAATTATTTAACCCCTTTAAAACAACTCACCTAATTCAATACAGATGCAACCAGTTGATGCTAGAAATCATATAGTTAGTGAATCGGAGTGAGGTTAATGTGTCTCAAATAGTATAAACACTTGTCTCTGAAAGTCACTGGTGAATTAGTACTCCTGGCTACAGCTACACTGTGAAGACAAAAATAATCACTCTAAGTAACTCCATAAAAAGGTTACTGAAAAGCATAGGTGAGAATATGGATAAAAGCACATTTCTACGTCACTAAATATTTCTTAGGGCACAGGTAAATTCACCTAAATTCACCAGAAGGCATGTGACCTTCTGATCGAAGAAGGGCTGATGAGACCACATCATCTGCACATAATCACAAACACACCATCCCCACTGTGAAGCATGGTGGTGGCAGCATCATGATGTGTGGCTGCTTCTCTGCAGCCTGCCCTAGAGGGCTTGTAAAGGCAGAAGGCAAAATGAATGCAGCAAAGTATAGTTCAATCCAGCAATGACCTCTAGGATACAACCAAAGCTACACAGAAATGGATTAAAGATAATAAGGTGAATGCTCTGATAGGGCCAATTTACTGTAAATAATGACAGTTCCAGCACTATTACAAGTTAAGGTCTAAAGCTTGTAAAAATAAAACAATATTAGGGGGCAAAGGTGAGGTATGACTCTGTTATTTAATACTTTCTTTCTGGTGTGATATCATCCAGAACATCACAGTTCTGCTACTTTTTGCACTCTTATTTGATGGCAGATAGGAGAGAGTTGACAGGAAATGAGGGGAAAAGACAGACGGAGTGAGGGAGGATGCAACACACTCAAACGTGGGATGTTGCTGTTAGGCAGGCAGTGCCCACCAGAACCAATGATGCTTAGTATTAACTTCATAATAGGAGTGGCCCACTGGTGGGCTGGTCATTACAAACTCATGCTGTGCAGCCAAACCTGGATCTCAGAGGTTTCCAAAGATATCAAATAAGTCAGGCTGGATGTCTATGAAATTTATAGAAATTATTAGAGATAAAAAAAATACCCTGTGTCTGCTCCTGAAGGGGAAAATGGACAGTTAAGGGCTAAAATATGAGTCATTTATCAATGGAGAGAAAAGTGACACTCCTCAAAACAAACTTGTGTACTTCTCTCCCTGGAAACATCTTCGATAAATTTAATGAAGTGTCAGAACAAGAGTTACATCTAAACCATCTTGTGGCAGTGAGGGGGTCTGTCTCTTTCTCTGCTGAGTACGTCACCTTTCTTGTACACTTTGATGATGTCTTTAATCTGTTCACCAGTCCTGGAGGCCAGGATCTCAATCAGCACTTCATCATCAGTTCCGGCGCCCTGGGATCCAAACACAATATATGGATGAGCTTCAAATGAGCCAGCGTGGACCTTTGTGTTCAAAGCAATGTAGTCTTTTATTATTTTACCCTATTTAAAAAAAAATTTAAAAAATGACAGTGATTAAAGAAAACCAAAGCTTAAAAATGCTTAAAGAAAATGGTCGAACTAGCTAAAGAAACTCAGTAGTATAATTTGTGAGCACAGCACAGTTAAGAGGCATGCAATTAGAGAATGAACGGGTTCAGTATGAAAGAAATTATCTTTGAGGTTTTCTTGTCTTTGCTGCAATTAACCTCACAGACAAAAATGTCTGACATACCAAACGATTGGCTCAGTCGGTGTGATGGGAATCTTGAGGCCACGTCCTAAATGCTTTGCCTTCACTTTGACTGAACATTTCATTTGCACTGGTAATTCAAATGTAAATGTGTTTAAAGAATAATGAGAGAGAAAAAGTGGATCCTAGAGTTTAGTGAATGTTGCTTTGAACCTTGCGGGTTTTCAGTGTGGCAGAAAAGGAGAAGAAATAAAATGTCTGAAATGTCTACCAAACAAAACATATAATTTGATTTGACAGATTTTTAATTTGAGCCACACAAAAGGCGAAAAACGTAGATATGGAGGAAAATCTACTGCCCAGTACTGCTCCGTTACTGTCTCCCAGGTGTTACTACATACACTGTGTTTAGATGATACAATATACGAGGTAAAGCAGTGCCATTAACACCAGCTATCAAAAACAATAAAGTGTGGTTGTATTGCCAGAGTAACTCTAATGAAAAACCAGCTGCAACCTCCGACCTTCAGTTGATTTGAACCAGATACAGAGACAAAGCTAAGGACAACCAATTACAGAAATGACACCAAATGAAAGATGACTTTCATTATGGGGAACATGTACAGTATCAAGCACATGAGACACATGCAGCTTCCAGCAGGTTGTTGTTTTCTTTTTTTTTCTTTTTATAGCAAATACGATGATAAGAATCGCATGTAGATCTGACTCTCAGCAGTCACAATGCCAACTTTGACATTACCAGTGGCAAAGCCGTGACAGGCCTAAGTAGCGTTACACAGAAGCCTGTGACAAAATAGCACAATGAATCTTTTGTGCATAGAATTATTTGTTTTGTGTCCTTCCTTTTGTTGTCAATTTTCAACACGTCTTAGTCATGGGCACACTGTTGAAAGCTAATGGGAGCTGTTGAACGCCGAGAAAATAATTGGGAACAGAAGAGCTCTGCAGCAAGCTGTCAAACTCACTGTCAGCTATATGATCACTTTATGATGTTGCGGAAGCTCATGTGCTGGCAAGCAGCCGCTGACTTACGCGTCCAGCAGACTGAACAGCTAAGACACTTACATCTAGGGATTAAATTAGAATTTGTAATGAGGGAGGACTCTTTGGTTTTAAAGTTGCCAAGATGTGCACATGCATGTGTGCAACAGTGAAAGTATTGGGAGTATTTCTACATACATACACCTACACAACAAAACCAATTCATTAGCTTTAAAGTAGCGTGGGCCTTTGACAGACTGTTCAGAGACCATAACAAGGTCTGATCCGTGCTGACAACCCTCTGCTAAAACCAGCTGACGACAATGAAGCATTTCCTATTTATCAGTATAAAATACAAGAATGGTCATGCTAGGCTGCCGCTAAAGAAGAAGACAATATGAATATGAATGAATTATTATGCATTGATCAGTATTTTTAGTAATTACACTGAAAGAGACTTCTTAGGTCCAGAAACTGTAAAAACAGAAAAAAATGTTGAAATTTTAACTATCTGATGTCATGCTGTTCCATTTGAAAACTTAATCAAATATAAACTTAAAATCACAATAAAGCTCTCCATGGCACAACAGGGAAGCCATTGGTGGTTCAGCTGGGATGAACAGTCACGTGACAAACAATCTGGGACATTTTGGCTGAAATGGTTTGAACTGCAAGCAGAGCATCGTGAAGTGTCTCTCTACTTCTTGCCATGGTTCTGCTGTTTTAGTAGAGGCACAGTATATTATAGCGCAAGCAGTGACAAATCAACCCTACAGTGAGTGAAAATCTCAAAAAGATCAAACCAGCAACTTTTACCATCGTATAATCTGAGATGCTCTGATATCCTGCTCAAACCATACTGGCTAACTCAACAGTTGAAAGTTCCCATGACGTGTCCAGCAGAGTGCTGTTTGATTCTGCAAAGACTAGCGAGGAAAAGTGTTCGGTTTTACTGTAGATGAACCATTTGGGCATTGTTTAAACTGACATAAATCAACGTGCAATAAACCTGTATGATGAGTAACGTGTAATGGCTAAGTCTCATTTACGAAGGCAAATGAGTGGTATACTGGTATTGTTTGTGCCGTCTTATCAGCTAGGCTTAAAGAGTAGGCAGCTTTAATCACTATTATTCATCTGCACGTGTTATTACTGTTATGACAAGTTGAAATGTCTGTCACGAGAGAGGATTGTCACTCAGTTGTGTGAAAACACCACAATAAAAAAACAAACATCATCCATGGATTTCAGCTTATTTGCATACAAGATCTACAATCTGGATTAAGCGCAGCAGCTGCAAAGACTTGTCATCAGTTACCTTGAGAGCCTTGTGCAGCTTCGAAGCATCATATGAGACAGGTGGGGTCATCAAGGCCACAATCAGACTCTCAAACAGCCCACCGAGTTCAGACTTCAGCGCACTCACTAAGTCCTGCAGTCAAACGACGATTAGTGGTGACAAGAGCAAACACAACAATGACTGTATTTACATAGAACTTAATTATCCTCTAAATGCATTAAAGGTAAAACACAGACTGTACCTTAGCTATCTGAGTATGTATTAGTGTATACAACCCCCCTCCCCACCACCACCTTAAATCTACTGTGCTTTCTGTGTAGTGAGAAGTCAATCATCGACCTTTAGTATAAAAATGTTATTTAAGGTTTTCATAATCCATTGTTCTTTTCACATAATGAGCAGATTTTTTCCTTTGTAATTTTTTAGACCCCTGAAAAGACAGTCAAGTCAAATTCCCACAAAGATTGATCAAAAGATGGATTACAGAGCACAAATGACACCTTGAAATTTATAGAGAAATAAGGTGAAACAGGTACATGAGTGTTGCCTTCAGATATTTTTTGCAAATGAGAACTTTAAGGCATTGATAACCTTTTGTAACACGAAATGCACTGAAAGCACAGAGACTCATTCACTGGCTCATTTTGATCAAACGTTGTAATATTCAGTGATATTCCAGGAGCTACTTTTTGATTTTTCTCATGGACCTTTTTTCTCTCGAGCTGCTTCATTTATTTATACTCGAGGTAGCAATTACCTTTGCCAGAATGCGTTTCAATAAACTCCACAGAAACCAAATTAACTTGCTGTCTTCAATCCACAGGTGGTCATAAAACAACCAGACAGTGTGATTGAACAGAGAGAGCGTGAGTGGGTAAAATGTCCATGTCCTATGAAACTAACTGCGCTGTGCTTTGGTCCATGGAGGCTGCAGACTATTGGTTTCTCTGCTTCTTCTGTGGCGATGTTTTCCCTGAATGATTGTTGAATGTTGGCACTAAATGTCAGCTGTCTCTCTTCGTGATTCTTAATGACAGAAGAACTCGATGTTTGATTCGCTTTTTGGTATTAAAGCTTGTAGTGGAGACACCCAGTGGAGGTCAGATAGCTTTACATAAATAATGCCATAATATAAAACAGTACAAGGAAAAGTCCTACATGCAAAATCCTAGTTTTGTAAACTCACAGAAGTTTGATTTGTACATTGTAAATAAGGGGCATTTCTAATAAACACTAGTTAACATCGCTGCAATAGACAGAGTTGAAGAAGCTTGAAAACAAAAACTAAATGGACCTCGAAGAAGAAGAAACAAACTAAACTTTGGCCATCTACGAGTAAAAAAAAAAAGAAATACAAAGTCTTAAGAAATCGTTTTTAGTCACAAAAGTTGTAATTTTTCTTTTATGTCAGCTGGTATCGGCAATGTTTCACACAGTCCAGAGACAAAGGCAGCACATGTTGATCATTTGCTCATCAGTCATGCAAGTTAAATGTTTGCTCTGTCAGAACTTATTCAAAAAGGCTTCCATCACCTATGAAGCTCATTGACTTTTTTTCAAAATTGTCAAAAAAAAAGTGTCACTTTTTTTTTTTTCATTTTGTCATTTCCATTACCTTCTTGCAATGCAACACTGCAAAATGTGCAAAAAAAAAAACATTATGGAAACTTGGACTGTGTATATTTTCTGCCCTCATATTGAACTTCCGACCCTTTTAAGGATCTCAACCCCCATCTTGGGAAACACTGAACCAGAACAGGGCTGAAAATGGACTCTAACAAAGTGTAAGTTACTCCCTTTTGGAATAATGTTTGCCAAGACTACAATTCTTAGCTCGTTTAGGATCAAACTGTGAATTTTTTGCGATTTCTTTTTTGTGTGTGTGTGTGTGCATGCTGCTGGATCAGTGTGGTTCACGCTGGTGAGTGAGGAGAGCACATGATCTGCACCCGTCCACCTACTGGTGAGACTGCTAGTTGTCATTAGCTGTCTGTTTCATGCCCAGCGGCTCACCTCACCTTTCCGTACGCCTTCTTGTACGCTGCCTTAATTTGCTGGCGCTGATCGTTGCTGCGCGCCGTCAGAAGCATGAGGATAGTATCTTCATCCGTACCTGGACCGAAAGTCAATGAAGTTTTAAAATAGCATACAGAAAACCACACTGAGATCTACAAAAACAGGTCTGTACCCATCATTTGGAATGTGGATAAAGACCAACAAATTTTGCTTTTTTATTTCTAACCTATCTTCTTGTAAACAAACAACCTCACTGAAAATAAATGACAGTTTGCAATATACTCCTCACTCAAATGAAGAGTCAGCCCCTGAGGGCAGCAGATCCAAAAGGACTGGCGAGGCTGATGATCTAACAATCAATAGCTCCAGCACCTCAGAGAAAAGACCTCAGATAGACAAAGCACGTGGTCTTTTCACTGAAGGATCAAAATGTTGAATTAGTTCCAGGTAATTATGGCGCAAAGCCCCGTTGATTTGCCACGAAAGCTCTGAGTACAGAAACAGGTGCAGTCGGGTCATCGCCTCTCTCCTCCTTTTTACTTTAAGTTATCCACTAAATTAGGTGGATATTTCCTTCTTACTGTGAGAGCACAAAACTGACAAGTGAAAGCAGGAGATAAAAGGGAGAAATGGTGCTGTTAAACCATCCAGAACACCTTTAATTCTATAATTGTCGGTGGGGCCACTGATTTACATTTTAAAATTACATCTCTGGACAAAAGGTCAAAAAGTAATCCAAGTGAAAGTGAATATCTGTCAGCCAAGACAAACACTATGTGGCACAAGATTATAGTTCAAAAATATTATCCTTTCACAAATGGCCATCAGGTTAACATGGTTTTCGATAAGTAAACCTAAAAGTGGCTGTGTCCTAATGAAGATATGAAATTAGTTAATTAAATGAATCCTCTCACCTAACTTGCTTAGAGCAACTCTGTCATTGAAATTACTTATGATATGAACTTGCTTTCCTACTTATGTAATTGTTGTAGGAAATATGCTCACAGGCAACGTTTTTCTGAGTCACTTTGAGACACACAGGGGTAGGTGGGAGGTGGTCGGGGTGGAGGGAGGACGTACAAATTAGAAATGTTTGTCCATGTGTGCACACTTATGACAACAAAAGCAGTTTGGTTAAGATTGAAGATAGATTTTTAGCTGCAGGTAAATTATGATCACCTTTGACTTTTTTTGTAACAAATCAAACCACTGACGCCACTAGTATGTAAACATAGCAACAAAAAGTTCAATAACAGTGTAGTTGCTTTAACCTCTTTGGACCTGGCGTCCACATGCGTGGACATCACATTTTGGGTTATATTACCACAACAGTTATTTTATTTTATTATTATTATTTTATTATTGTTATTAATTTAATTTTTATTTTTTATTTATTTATCTTTTAAAAATATTTTTTATATATTTTTAAATACATTTTTGTTTTCTTTTTATCTTTTATTTTTTATTCGAGAAATTAAAAAAAAAAAAAACAACATATCAAACAAGAGCTTGGGTCTTAAGAGGTTAAGAGAATATTGTTGGATATTTTGACAGAAATATTTCACTGACAAACTCAATATTATCATTGTGTGTGACTTGCCAGATATGTTAATTAAACTTTCATGAGGAAAAAAAATGTAACTCAGATGAGATTACAATATCTTCTAGACATACTTGCACATCCATATTAGTCCATTTCTAGAAGACACGGTTTGTTTATAGTTATTACTAAAGTGCAATCAGTGTTGCAGTAAAAACTGTGCGGACAGAAATATCGTTTGTTTTTTACTTCATCAAAAATATGTAGTTTTCCTTAGTTTATATTGCACATTTTAACTGTATTATGACATTATCACTAAGCCTATACACAGAAATGACTGTAACCACTTCAGACTGTCCACTCTGCCGTCCTGTTATGGAACTGGCAGTCGCCGTGTTTGATCGTGGTGCAGTAGACGCTCATTACTGTGACGCTTTTGCAGAAATGCCTTCACACTGACGCCTCACTGGAAGTTTTGCTATAAGCTCAAGTTTCAATTTTGACGATATTCGGTTTCTCCTCTAATTGATATAAACTCACTGGAAAAATTGAATTATTCCTACGTGCCAGAGGACGGCAACAGTTGTTTAGAAGAAGCAAACAGTTAAGCTTCCCTGACATCTGAGTCGAATCGTGTGTTTTATTGTTAGATTGAATGCAGAGAGCTGTAGAACAAGATCATCATGTGTTTTACGAATACTAATGACACACAAACAAAAACAAGACACAAATGTCATTTGTGGTTACGTGCAAATACACCTGAAGTGTGGCATGAAGTGACTATTAAGGGTGCTTGGGAGTCATTTTAACACACGCAACTCCCACAACCTTGATGATGAATTGAAATAAGCCATCTAGAAGGTTGGAAAAATCTGTTTCGAAGACATATGGCTGCAAGATACTAGAGTAGTGACCAGGAAAAAAGCTTTACAATGGGCACAACAAAGGTTTTTAAGAGACTTTCTTCTTGAGAATGTGGAGTATTATATATTGTAGTCGACTAGTAGTTTAAGTAGGAAACGTGAGCAGGCAATCCGGTGAAACAATCATCTTGAGGGAACTGACCGATTCCTTTCATGGCCTTGTGCAGAACTTCAGCATCGTGTTTGGCGTTGAAGTTGACATAAGGTCTAACGCTGCCTCTGTATGCCTGTAAAAAGACAGCAACACAGATAAATAATCCACCCATTATCTATACACC